TCCCCCATTTTGCGAGTTTTAGATTCTCCCATTCATAAGTAATAGGAGTGAACCATCTTTCCATATCTATAGTCTTTGGTAGGATTAAGGGATGTAGAATATGGTCATGCAGAATAAGGCATTAATATGTGCTTTATAAGTACTAATAAACAGCCAATATCCTAGTAATATGCATGCTAATAATTGGACCCTAAACTAAAACGTTCCTTTTTTTTGTCCATACAATTAAAGTTAATTGGGGTCTAAATGTTCTTCAAAATCTTCTTTTGTGTTCTGCAGAAGAAACTAAGTCATACAGGTTTTGGAAGAACATGAGGGTGAGTAAATGGTTTTCAAAAATGATTTTAAAATTTTGGGTGAACTATCCTTTTAAGAAAGTTCTGTTCACGCTGACTGCGATTTGCTGTAAAAAAATAAAAATAAAATAAAAAAGGCCCAGAAGTCATTAAATTTCAATGAGACTTGCCAATTTCACCAGACCACATGTTAATTATTAGCAACAACTGATTGTCAAATTAAAATCTCATCTTATTTTGATTTAACAACACATCTAATTTGTAATGAGATTTTCGAATGTTATTGGCATCTACAAATTCCACCAATTATATTAGGGCATCCAGACCTTAAACATCCAGCAATACAAATGCTGTCAGTGCGAATGGGGCAGAACAGTAAACAAAATCATCCACATTAACGTAAAGGGATACCAACACCTGTATTAAGTCTTTAATCGTCTTTGTCTGTCTGGCTGCAAGTATTTCAATCCAATTAGTTCTCATTGTCTAATCCAGCCGATCACGTCGATCCATGTAAGTTTACGGCGTGCAACGAGTTCTCCCGCTGCGTGGTGAACACGTTAACCACAGAGCCCGAGTGTCTGTGCGATCCGGGCTACAGCACAGTGGACCGCCAGCCCTGTACGAGCATCTGTGACCTACAGCCGGAATACTGCCTGAACGGAGGCCAGTGCGAAATTATACCAGGACACGGAGCGACCTGCAGGTACGTTAACGTGATGACCTCTGAAAGAGAAAAAGGATGTCGAAGAACTTCTAAAACTGCTGCTTTTCTTAGAATTCATTTCGATGGAGATTACAAGGATGTAGGGAAAAACCAAAACCACTTGAGCATACAAAGTTCTTCACCTGCACTGCCAGAATTTTATTTTGCAAAAATTATAGGGGTACAACAGCTTGTCAATGAGGAAGTTCCTTTAAATGTACACATTTGTACCTTATTTACGCTTAAAGAGTGCTTATTAGTACCTTAGAGCATATTAGTATGGAAGCTTGTTTCCGCCACTAAATATAAAATAAAAAGGTAATTGCGACTTTTTATCTCACAATTCTGACTTTTATCTCAGAATTGTGTTATATAAACTTGCAATTGTGAGTTATAAAGTCAGAATTGTGAGATATAAACTTGACATTCTGAGAAAAAAAGATAAAAAGACACTATTAGCTTTTTTGAGTTCAAAATTATCCAAATACATAGCCAGTGTTCAAAACTATCTGCTTGCCTTAGCTCGATTCAAAACGGTAAGCTTGTAATAATGTTTTTAATTCCAGTGGTGCTGGTGGATTTCCGCGGGAGATTCGAGCATGTCTTTGCGTCATTACGTCACATCTGTACACATAAAGAAGGAGTCTCGGCTAGTCGGCTATATTGCGTGTGAGGATGTTGGAGGTAGAGATTTATAGCCTTTTCTCACAGAACTTGATATAATTAAACTTATCAATTTTATGGCGGATCCGGAAAGGTTCAAACGACAATCACCAGTGACAACAGATTCACCCGCTGTAAAATGCAAAAGACTTCGGAGTGGCTACAGAAAAAAAAGAGACTGCAACCGGGCCCATGCGAAAACAAGGATACATATCGGAAGAGCATTAAATGTAGTCACGCATATGATAAGGGATTGTTAGATTTAATCAGCGCGATTTACTGCAATGATTTTTTCCCTTAGTTGGTCAGAACCAGAACAAAAGTGGATGTTAGTTACTTGTTCAGATTACATTTTCCGGTGAAAATTATTATGTTGGTCATACTTCCAAAAAGAATAATCTGTGATTCTGAATGCCAGTATCCACACCGGCGCGACAACTCACAGCCACACACTCTCCTGAAAACATTGGATTCATTCGCGCTGTGCCGTGTCGAAGCACAACTCACGTAAAGTTGATAATTCCGTAAATAACTGCAATTGCAGATTTCGAACAGAGATAGCGACAAAGAGGAAAAACTGCGGACTGCAGCTTTAAATTGTTTTATTCCGTGGCGGAAACAAGCTTCCATATATTAGTAATACGTACCCTTAAGGTACTACTATGAAGTTCCTTTATATGGGACTACCCCAGAGACAAGTTGTGGTCCATTCATAAATCCGTAAGATCTTACCTTCATGCTGTGGACATACATTACAAACCTGCACATTTTTTTATTGTCTGAAGTTTATTTTCAAGTTCCTGGTCTCCTTGTCCCCTTCACTATGATATATAAAAAAAAAAAAAAAAATTATATATATATATTTGTTTTGCTGAAGCTGAACAAAATAATTCATTATTAATAATTTTTTTTAATTATTTATTTGTCATTGGTGTTACCACTGTTAAAATATGTATTAAAGTGCCCCTATTATGCTATTTCAAAGGTTCCTAATTTTGGTCTCCTACAACAGCTTTACATGCATCCAAGGTCAAAAAACACTTCATAATATACATTGCATTGAGACTCATGTCTCAAAGAGAAAATCTTAAAACGGTTGTTCAACGATTCTGTCTCTCTAAACCCCTCCTTTCCAAGAGCCTACTCTGTTCTGATTGGTCAGATGACCCAGTCAGTTGTGATTGGTCTACCGCTTACAGCCCGTGTCGGAAATAAAATGCCTTATTATTACCATATCTGAATTTCAGCTCCAGAGGCTTCCTCTGCGCTTGTAAACAGCGATACGAACAGAAACAAAGGCGTATAGGCTTTTCCATATTAATTCCAGTGCGAGTTCTCAATCTTTTTGAAGTAGATTTGCAGTGCTTAAAATATCGTCTTCTCTTCTTCATCGACAACACAAACCAAACTCTTCCAGGCCTCAGCTACAACTACAGTGTTTTGAGGACAGGTCAAAGTATACATTGTTAGCGGGCAGTCAATGAAGACCATAGGCTGCCATTAAGCAAATTTGTTACATTATTACGTAGGTATGTAACAGGAAGTGAGACAGAATTGCTGACGATTCGTTTCAGCAGCTCAGAATCGATTCTTTCTCTCAGAAGACAATAACTTTATTTGTTGTGCACTTGGATCTTCAAAGCATTGCAGAGCTTTTACATTTGCACAAAGCTATATTACACACTGCATGAAAGGTAATAATCGAAAAAGCATAATAGGGGCACTTTGGAAAAAACTGCCACATTCCTATGCATGCACACTTCTCTTACATGTTTTCTCTCAACCACTTTTAGATGTCCCGTAGGTAAATTCTGGCACTACCACGGAGAACGCTGCAACGAATTGGTGTCTGTGCCCATTGACCCTCTCCTTCTCATAGCCTGCATGGTGGGAAGCCTCTCAGTGGTTTGTGCTGTGATAGGCATCTTGATTTTCATTAACAAGAAATGTATACGGACCAGAAAGAGCTTGAGACTTGTGTAAGAAGGGTTTTCTTTTTATTTAGACATTTGATCTTTCTTTTCAGATTTGGATTTGCAGTGCTGACCCGTTTTAAACATGTTGGTGTTAAGACCTGATTTCCTTTGCATTGTAGGCGTTCACAATCTGCATTCCCCTTTGGTAATACTATGAGAGTAAATCCAGTTTTTGAGAATGACGATGGGGTCTTAACACATGTGTCGAGCATCCTCTGTCCCATGAGCTCTGACTCAGCCTCCTTACAACACTCAGGCCAAGGCACATTTCGATCACTTGAAAGTATACAACTTAGTATTGAGGTAAAGTTTACAACCAAGATGGTATTCTTAATGATCTATTTATTTAAATCGATGTCATGACCGCTACTAACATCCATAATCAACCCATGATTAAATCATATCTATGTCCTTCGTTTGAGATTCTGATCTGACAGATTTTTTGTTGTTCTGACTCAAATCGACTTAGTTTTTTGTGGTATCAAAATAGCAAAAAACTAAATCTGATCCTTACAAATACGATCCAAAACACATCCACATGGGGGGGGGGGGGGGGAGGGGGTAAATTATTATTACTACTAGTAATTATTACTATAATTTCTAGTAGTATACTGTAGATTGTATTACTATATCACTAAACTCCCTTTTGCCCCAGCAGCCTATGTCAGACCACTTTGCACATCTTTCACAGCAAATTCATTCAGGGATTCATATTAGTTACACAATGTCAATATTTGCAATTGTTGCAGAATATGTGCAATATTCAAAATAAATAAATGTTAGATGAAATTACCTTGAAATCTGGCTTTAGACACTGCACTCAATTATCTTATGGAACAGGAAAACCATGCACTGCAAAAAAAAAAGACAATGACAATAGTCTATATTTATGTAAAGGGAAGGATTATACAGAATAGACATTAAATTCAGCAAGTTGCTTTTGGTGAATCAGCTGTTTTTTGAGGGTTTCTTTGTCTAGAAGAAACTAAAGGCTATAGTAAAATCCATGCATCAGTATCCTCACCAGTGTAAACACACTATGTATTCATAATAAAATAGATTCAAAACAGTGATACAGTATATTTTCTTAAACAAGTTACAGACACAATGTATTCAAACAAACAAAAGAAATCCACTATTATTCTTCTGAGCCCTTCAAAGACACAACATTAAGGAATGATTTTCCTAAGAGGACACTAGAAATTATGGACAGCATGCATGGGGTTTGCATCTCATTTAGACTAGTGCATCTGTAGTTTTCTAAACTAATGATATTATGAATATTAAACTTTTTTTTTCCAGCAACAGATGTTGTGCTCATCAAAATATTGGCCGATGGATGTAGTGCCAAAAATGTACCTTGCTTCGTTGCTTAACAAGTCTTTGTCGCCATGGCAAAAAAAGGTAAAAGATTGATTGTGGTCTGTCATTCCTTTCCCAGATCCCCAGACAACTCTACACCAGAAGATCAGAAAAGTTAACATCAGAAATGGTTGACTTCCATCACACACCTAACGAGGTAAGCTGGTGTGAAAACAACCAATTTAATGCAAACAGCATCCGTAAATAATCACGACAGCTTGATTTATTCTATCAAGATGATAAATCTTTCCCATCAAAATGTCAACTATCATACGAAATAATATTGATAAACTAGATGTTTTGCGTCCTTCTATCACCGACGTTCAGTTCCAATTACATTTTTCTTTTACTATCTCAGAACCCAAATAAATATGTCTGTATTTCAAGCAAGTTATTATAAATATCTTGTAATGTAATGAAAAGCAGAAGCAGCATTATTTGGTCTAGTAGGCTTAAATATTTTTCATGGATGAGAGTTGATGTAAGATTTGTATTCATTCAAGTGTGACTTAATATAATACGTTGATTATTCCTGAAAGTAATCCTCTAGTCCTCAAGTGGAATTGTTAAATTGGCAGTGTTTATGAAGGATTTGTAAACAATAGAATATTAAACAAGGTATGAGCTTGACAAACAAAGCAATATTGCCTTAATATTTTAGTTATCAACTGACTCACTATTTTCCGTTCGAATAATTACTTTCTTATGGATTCTCTGACACTGCATGATAAGCACACATCTTTAACCTTTAAGCACAAAAATATAACATTACCTACTAGATTAAATTATATAGTTTATATTAGATACATTTGATTTCATACTGATATTTACCTTCAAAGAGTAAAACCGTATCAGCAGCGACACATTTGCTGCGTCCCAATTCGCATACTATCCGTCCTAAACAGTATTCGAAAATAGAATTAGTACGTCCCAAATCGTAGTATGTTGAAATGAGTGTCCCAAAGAGACCCGGATGGTCTACTATATCCGGTCAGAATCCGAAGTGCAGATCGATGCGCACTCTAACGGCTGATATTGCCCACAACCCATCGCGCGTTGGACGAGGATTCGGTTAGAACTACAAACACGAATGAAAAGTGTTCAAAAACTACAGACATGGAGGACGCGCGAGTCCGGCGGTTATGTAAAGAGGTTTAGATAAAGGGGTTTGAGTGATTAATTATCAGTATCTAACCTGACGAAAATGTATTTATTCAATGTTGTCCACATTATATTGCATCTGCGGCAGCATTGTGAACTTTTGCAAAGATACGTTTAGCCATTAACTTTTAAATGCATTATTATATTCAAATTCCAAACACATGAGGAGTCTCCGCATGAAAGGCCCATGACTGGCAGATGAACGTGCGACAACAATTCTCTCCGAAATGGTAAGAAGTTATATTAGATTGAATGGAGGATTTTAACTGTGACAAGATGATTGACAGGGCAGTTTACGGTGATAGGATGCACGCGACAGATATGTACGTTGAAGATGAGGAAGTAGTATGTCCCAAAGCTTGCCTACTCTTTTGCTACACACTCAAAAGTATGTACTTTTTCTTCACAAAAAGAGTACATACTTTTAGGGCGTAGTATAAGTAGGCGAATTGGGACGCAGCGATTGTCTTGACGCTCACATTTCGATCGTTGTCTGCTGAACTCGCAAATGCACTGTGGATAATTTAAGTTATGTTCGAGCGAAAAAATAAATAGAAATCATGCTTGTTGTTTTCATTAATTGTACCACAAATTATGACAAGAAAACATGTTTTTCTACTGATTTGTCCTCATGGGCTGCACGCTAAAACAAACACACAGCGACTATTACTTTACTAGCCTGCACGTTGATTTAGCATTAGCAACAAATGACCCGAAATGAGGGATAGGTCACACCGTCACTCTAAAATAAAAATTAAGTCATCATTTACTGTTGTTGTTCCAATATAGTATTCCCTTTCTTTTATCAACCACAAAAGGATCATTTTTAAAAACGTCTCGCTCACGCTCGTCATAATGGCAGTGAATAGCCGCATTAATCCTTCAGACTGCAAATTAAACCAAACACATCCAAATAGCCTGTATTTACCGCTGGAGCATGTTTGTGACGCCTGTTGTCTAGGTAGGGAGTTTGCTAGGCTTGTGGAGTCATTTAGAATTTACCTAGAGTTCAACACCTAAACATTTAATTGAATGAATGAATGAAACTTTTAAATATGTATTTTAATATGGACATATTGGCGATTCTGGTGAGCTGCTCCATAGTTCACCCACCCAAAATTGAAAATTTACTCACCCTTAAGTTGTTCAAAACCTGTTTTTTTTCTCTTTCTTATTCGTCTTATATTGAACACAAAAGAAGATATTTAGAAAAATGTTGGTAATCAAACAGTTGACAGTAGCCATTGACTTCCCATAGTTGGAAAAAAATACTATGGAAGTCAATGGCTACCGTCTGGTTACCAACATTCTTCAAAATATCTTCTTTTGTGTTCAGCATAAGAAAGAAACTCAAACAGGTTTGGATATACATTAGGGTGAGTAAATTTTGGGGTGAATTTTCCCTTTAAAGTAGTCACAGGAAGGTGTGCTGCATTGCGATGATACATAACTGCTGATGATTTTTTGTTTTTCTTAGCTTCTTAAATGACCAAGTTGTTTTTCTTCATGTTGTATTACAGACGTGGCAGATGTCCAGCAGGTCCTCTTGCTGCGTTTTGAGAAGTCCTGATAGTGAAGGCTTTGAAGTGACTGTTTTATGAGGCCCAGACACTTTTTTTTAAGCTAAGCATGGCACCAAAGCTCTTCAGTGCTATTCAAGCAACTCAACTTTGCTGGTTTCTCTAGACATTTGGTGAGTTTGATACAACCGCTCTACTCAAGAATCAGCCATATTCTTGGACAACTGAAATAATACCTCCAGGAATGGGGACATATGATTTAGATTACTCCTGAAGTTATTTTTTAAGTGTACTTGAAAAAAAAAATGTAAATTGTATATGAGACATGTAATGTGTTGGATGCTTTGAATCCTTGTCAAAGGTTTGTTTCCTTCCTCACAATGAGGTATTTATTTACAATTGATACATTGGGTTGTATCTTAAATATAAAACAGATTCTAGTCATCTCTTCTAGTCTATCCTCAGTGTTCCAAACAAAGAAATTGAATGTAAAGTATTTCTGTAACTCTTAATGGTATCACTTGTGGGGAAAAAAGACAAAAATACAGGTGGGGGTGATATCTTTGTTTTTACAATCAACAGAAAAAAGCATTCTAGAATATTTCAGCTGTAAAATAAATAATTACAGTCATTTCTATTTAAACTTTAATGTGCACTAATGAATCATTCATGTTGACTTCAAAAGATAATAGTCAGTGTCCCTCAGTAAAGCCTTCTACTCCTAATAACTATTATAAATGCAAAGATCTAAACATAACACGTTTTATATGGAATTTATTTATTGTGGTCTAGTAAAGTAATTGGAGCAACAGTGGCCAGTCAAAAATAAGAAAATCAGAGTATATTTAACCCAGACACATCAAAGATAAATTGACAGACAAGAAACAAATATCGATAGTTTGAGATTACACGATTTCAGTTAGAAAGGGTTCAATGGAGAAAAACATTAGCAAATGAAAAAACAAAGTCTGGGAATAACAACAGCAAGTTGATCAAATGCAGCAATTTGGTCTGTGCCTGAGTTTTCAAAATGTTTAGAATGTTATTGCATTTCCCATTACTTCGGTTCTTCAGGCAGTTATTATGACCAAATGAGAAAAAAGGGGTCAGAGAAGCGCATAACGAGGCACTTCGTAGTAAAAGCTCATTTAAACTAAATATTTCCTTGAGTTGGTACATACATAAATGTAAAAATGAGAGAAATCTACCACACACGCCGACAGAATTCACAGCAAATCATTAACAAAGGTGCCATTATCACTTCACTGAACAGAAATGAATATGCCCTTTAGCATATCACCATGATTCAAGTACAAAATTGCTGAGCAAAACCATGCATGACAGCAGTGACTATCCTTATTATGAACTGAAGCCGCTTTTAAATGCATCTATAAAATTCATTATCAAATATATGTAAAGGCAATTTCTGATGGAGCATGTCTTTGAAACCGCATTTACAAAGGTGAGACAAAATATTACAACCTAATGTATTCCAGTGCATGTCCCTCATTAGCCTTTCCCACCATCATCAGATTAGATTAAAGATACTTTGACTAGTTATTCAATGTATTCAAATATTAAATGTTGCTCCACAATAATGACCATTTAAGTCCTATAATAGAATTTTATTTTAAAAGGTGAAGTGTGTAATTTCTGCGGCACTAGATAACAGAACTGTGGGAAAAGGACTGAACACCTACCATTTGTCGGACAAACAGACGGTCCCACCCCTAAACCCACAACATTGGTTAAGCCAATGTTGCTTGAGCTGAACATGGAGTGTAACATTTTAATAGCATCCCTATCAAATGAGATATGAATTAGGTCTGAAAATCTTAAGGCATCTCTGAGCAATAGGTTCAAGAAAGGCTCAGATTTGTATGAAAACTGGTTTCTACGCTCACGGCAAAATGAAGAACAAACTACAAACAAAAAGTAAATTAGACAGTAATTGCTTCCACTAGAGTTGTACATCCCTTTGTTTTAGCTACACCACGTTACCATCTACATCTACACGTGCATAGATAATGTGGTCCAGGAGGAGAACCGGGCGATGTTCACTTGAGAAGGTTCTGGAGCATGGCGGTCGCGTAGGTGGGTCTGGCCTGCTTGCTTTCGATGGCGTTCCTAAGGTATTGGATTCCGCCGCAGCGCTCCCAGATCTCCTCAAACTGGCGGGGGAGGATCTCCGCTCCACGTTTTCGCGTGAGCCCGGTCTCCTCCAGACTCAGCTCGCACATCTCCATGTCGTCCTTACCTGGATACATCAAAAGATAAAAGGCATCACGCTATGCTTAGGTGCACACCTCACATCCGCAGATAAGAGTCGCATTTTCCAGTGAAGCTTTCAGCTATTTTATCTTTCAATTCCTGCTTCAATTCCAAAGAATTCATTGTTCACAGTAGGGGAAAATTATTGTTTTATCTTATCAAAACATTAGCTAGTACTGAGGAAGGCCTTTGGTACCTGCTACCAAGAGGATCGGCTGCTTGTCTGGATGAAGCTCCATCTGCCTGGCGATCCAGGGCCCGTCAAAGTGAGCGTACCACCAGCCTTTCTTCTTGTTCTGGGGGTCTTTGTACTGATCCGCAGGCCTTATGAAGGGAATGCGGAAGTAACGTTGCTGTCGGTTCATTGCGATCTCTTGCTGCCGGGCTGGGACAGGCGGAGCAGGGTTCTGCTGGGCTGAAGAAATATAACAGAAAATATTACAATATTAACGATATTTTAACTATTTCTAAACTAATTCTGACAGTGGAGCTTGTCCATTCAAAACTTGTCGCCATGATTCTAGAGTGTTGGGATAAGTTGCAATACAGTTGCTAAGGTGTTCTGAGTCATTTTTAGCATGTTGCTATGCACTTGTTCTGAACGGTCCAACTAGAGATCTGCACGGGATGGATTGTTTTTAGTCCCGTTCCATCAAAAAAATGGACCTACCCACAACTTTCAAGTTTTGTCCCACTCCTGTTGCAAAAGCCTGGTAGAGATCTACGCACATGGACTCTCATTGTCACTCTGGTGGCCTTATTCTATTTTTTATTTTTTTATTTCCCCCACACACAACAATTCAGACATCACCTTCCTTTCTGCCGTGTACAATAAAAAAAAACACTGATAATATCCAACCCTGCACAAGTAAACCATTTATTTTTGTAGCTAAATAAAGGAATAATACGATACAAACGAATAACATTCTGTGCCTTAAAACAATGATATATACATTTTTTGATTAATATTTTGTGGGACACCCTTGAGTCATTTCTCTCTCCTGCTTCCCATGTACACATCCATATCTTCCCTTCCACACCCAGTAATTCAGAACTTTTTTTGCGCCGCATTCTGTTGCAGCTCAAAAGCTCACTCCCAAGGCTCTATTACTCCTTGCCCACTGCAATGGTTTTTGGTTTTTGTGCCAGACCTTGGTCGAGGTGATCTGAGAGCCTGTCACAAACCGGCCTAACTTGAGAACTGAATGGTGACATAAGTTACGTGGCTTTGGTTGATCTTGATTCCAAAATTCCATATCTCCTCATAGACTCTTTTCCATTGCAAGCTCTCCATAGAAGACCACGTTGCATAAGACATTCCCAGTTTCTATATTAAACTTAAGTACTTCCTTGATGGGACTCCTTTTTACATATCTCCTCAATGTGACACATGCTTTGAGGTATCATTCATGTACTTAGCACAAATTGTACGGTATGAGTTACACACCAAAGGAGGGTTTGTTCAAATCAAATCTTCATATCAAACCATCTATTTATACTGTATCCTCAAAATGCATTCCAAGTACGTCATAAACGGAAGTAGGCATTTTAAATCCATCATCCCTAAGGATCAAACAGATTCAGAGGTTGGCTAATGTCAAGAAAGTTCTCAGAGAGGTTCTCTGCACTTTAATATTGACTTTGTAAAGCCAGAAGCCTGATTTCATCTCTCGGAGTGAGGCAGCATAAGCCCCGTGCACCTGATACAAACACTCCACTGTTTGAAGCTAAGACACATCTGAGGATTTGACAACAAGAGAGGCGGAGAGTTTGAAGTGAACCTGCAGGTCACGCAACTCTAAATCTTCTGTTTGTTCTGCACGAGCAAACACTTTTAAAAAGCACTGAAGTCTAAAGTCTTTAAACACAGTGATGTGCCTTTAAAGCAGGGAAATAAGCGAGAAGTTTGATTTCCTTGAAACGGCAGTGAGTGCCTTTAGATGTGCTTCTAGCTATCTGCATTATGTGCATCACAATTCTAACGCTAATCACAAAATGTGCTGCAAGGAACTTGAAAAGAACAACAAACAATAGTGCACACTCAATCTTGAGAAACAGCTGCAACACACACACACACACACTCACATAAGATAGAAGTTCAGAGTATCGGTCCAGAATAAATATTATGCTGCTGAATCACATTTAGTCATTACAAATGAAATCATCAGCTACACACGACTGCACAGAGAAATTTGTATTCTGCTGTTCCGCCACCATGCAGACCGTTCTCTTGGGGAAACGGATCATGTCTTACCATAGTCAGTGACCGATTTGGGAGCCCTCATCTCTGTGTCTGTATTTCGTTTCTTGTTCTTTGATTTCCAGGCATGGTACACCTTCAGGCGACGATGAAATTCTTCTCGACACGCCGCCAGCAACTCTATATCTACAAGGGTGAGAGATCATACAGTCAGTACTGCAATGCATTGTCACGCACAGGGTGTGAATTACACAATGGCCTTCGGGGGGGTGGACACATACTATATGTATACATACAATATCGCAACCTTCACGCGCAATAAACTGCATGCTCCTATTTCAGTGTTGTTGTTAAGTTGAGGATATTTTCAACAACGTTTTTTTCGTACATTCAGTTTAACAGCATTCACGAGGGCAGATTTTATCATTCAACTGAACTGTGTATATGCATTTTAAACACATGATGTTCTTAGTTTATCTAATTCACCAGCTCAAGTAAAGTTAATGCCCCATTTCAGGGGTGGCCAAAATTACGATTTAAAATCAGTCAAAGCTAGAAACGTATCTTCATATTTACTGGTAAAGCTTCATATTACAGGTCGACTAACGTCAGATGGCACTGCCGTCCACAAACTAGATTGTGGATAGTTATTGCATTGAATGCATTTATTTGTATACTTGATTATTCTGTTTATTCTGATTATTCCTGATTATTCCAAGTAAAATACCTGGCCACTAGAATACAATAATTATAAATGAATATGAATAAAATACACAACCACAAAATAGTAGTGTGTTATGCACTGTAGACACTCTAAAGGTTCCTTTGCTAAGATTCCACTTAGAAATAAAATTAGGAATATATATATATATATATATATATATATACTGCATGAGTGGTGAAGTTAAAAGAAAGTCATAAAATGAATTTAAACACTTTGAAATGTTATTTAACAATTGAAACTTGTTTAAGTACATTGTTCCTTGACTCAGAAATATGCATTACACCCATGAAAATATATTTTTATAAAATTATAGGATTTTTAGATTTACAACTTAAATCTTAAATTATAAAGATTTTTAATTAAAATCTTACAGATTGAAGTGATTTAAGATTTTTTATCTAATTAAAGATTTTTAATTTATGCCTTTTTAGAAGCTTTATTGGTCATTAAGCTGCTGTTTTCCATACAACAAAAGTGAATTTTTATAGGGAATGTCAAGCTCAATGGACAAAAAAAGCACCATAATATTATCATAAAAGTTGTCCATATGACTTGTGCACTATATTCACTGTAGTTACCATCAAGTCTTTTGAAGCTATACGAAAGTTATGCTTTGAGTAATCTTCCCCTCCGCCATTAGTTCTCAAATCTCGTTAGTGAATGCACATATTTAAGCTTTGAATATTTATGACCAGAAATGAGACTTGAGAGCTACAACAGAGTGAGGCAAAACCAAATAATTAAAAACTAAAAGAAATTGTCTGCTCTCTGCTTATGTAGGCTAATTAATATGAAGTGTGCATTTCTCTCTATAGGCGCGTTCACTACTGCGAAGGTGGCGAGTCTGCATCTCAACTTTATCTTTGCAGCCACAGACATAGAAAACTATGTTGAACAGAACACTGCCAGGCTAAGACAATGCATGCACTGAGACAAAAATGCATTTACCCACATATCTAAATGTAGGGGAGACAGTGAATAACCCTTATTTCAAAAAACGGTGGAGTGTTCCTTTAAAACTGTGTTGAACCTTATATTCATTCTTATTAGACACTGTAGATGAATACGTTTGCCTTGGTTGTATGTATAATTTTGTATTCAATAAAAAAAATGTCTTGATCAGATGATGAAGGCGTCTGTTCAGGGCATCACCTCATGACCGTCGACTGTGAGTGACGTCACTTCCCAACACAAACACGCCCCATAGCATAACCCCACCCTCGACACTGATTGACAGGTTTCCGTGTAGGGATCGGAAATGCAAATACTAAGGGAATTGCGATTCCATTTGAGTTTTGGCTGGCTACATACGCGACACTGAGAAAGTGAAAAAGCAGACCTGGTAATTGAAATTGCTATTTAAATATGACAGGGCCAAAACTCGTAAGATATGGGAAACACAGTTGCAAACGGACTTTGCTTTTCCATTTGAAATTTGGCAGTCAGTGTGCGTTCGCTTAAACGAAACTGTAAACGGTAATGCGCGATTTGCAATTGCGTTTGGATTATGTCACATTTTATGCGTCCACAAATTGAAAACGCAATTGCAAATACAATTTGCACTTCCTTTTGAATAATGTCCGGAATATCATTCCATAGGAGTGAGAGCAAGCAGCAAAAGCCGTACTGCTGCAATCTCTAATCATCATGCTAGTTCCCAATCTTCAAAATATCACATGCTAGTCCCTCCATCTTACAAAATAATACATGTTAGTCTACAAAATGACATGTTTTTTTGACATGAACAGCTTCAAGTAAGCAGGAGGTTCTGAGATCAGATTGAGGGGACTGATTGCTCTTACCACAGGAGGTGTTGATGGCGTCTCGCAGCTCAGCGTACTTCCACTTGCTCAGGTCGTACTTCTTCACCCCAGCTGCCACCTTGTTGGCCTGCACCTGCGCACCCCTGAGATTGCACAGAGGAAGAACAATTTTGAGTTTTTCTTAGCTTCATATCTCTCCATAGGCAAAGGATCTGATCGTTCTCCTAAGCTCCTGTTACCAGCTGCTAAACGTTCCCAGGCTACAGCACAATCAGATGATTAATTGGCCTTCTACTTACCTGGAGATACATTCTCTCTGAAACTTGTAATGACATGGAAATAGCACGGATCATGCCAAATTAACACCTCACTGAGCAAATTAGATACAGCCTTGGCAACACTGTGCTGCGACAGTGAGGGTGGTTAATGGCGGTTAACGACGGTTAATGGTGAGCGAGGGAAAGGCCACTTGTGAGGTATTGCTACTGTAGGTGGTCGTTGTGTTTATTAATGTGTTGCTAGGGTGCTAAAGGCTGGAATACCCTACATGACTTTTAAAATCTGTTTTAAAAACAGATTTTTAAACACTGGGCATCATACACTTGCCAACTTTGTAAAGAGTTACAAACAGGGCCTAAAACTAACTTTTTACCATACCTGCTAATGGCGAGTGACTTTTTTACCAGCCATGAAACTGTTTTCGCAAAACAGGCAGTTTTCAGGTACAGAAATTTAATAAAGTAATCAAATGTAAAATAATCAAAGCATAGTCTTCACTGTATAAATTAAACAGATTAATTCTTATTAAAGTAAAGAGTTGTTCAGACAAGAGCAGTGGGTTATTTTATCTTTGTCTTTTGTTCTTTGATTAACATTAACGGCAGACAACAGCAGGATTATAAGGCTGCTGTCACTTTAAGATCTGCACGAATCTAATATATGCTATTGATACTGTACACATGCATTTTCTTTCTCAAATATTTATGTTAACATAAGATATAACCGACCATGCGAGTGTTAATTTTAGGCCTTGGTTACAGAGGAAAAACTGAGCATCATACACTAAACAACTGAGGATCACACACTACCGAACTTTTAAGTCATTACAAACAGAACAAATTCACGCAGAAACACGTGCCTTGTTGCTATAAGATCGATGTGTCTCAAATGAAAACAATATGTGTTCTAAAATCGTCTCAAAATATTAAACATGTTTGATATCCTCTGACTGGATGGCATTTTGTGACCATCACTACACGATTTTCTGTGAAATCTGTCAAATCTGCAGACTGGCTCTGACTTTCGGCAATTAGCGTCAACTTGTCCAGACTGTAAATCGGGGCAAAAGTTGTGTAGTGTATACAAGCCTTGAGTGTTCTAAATGGTTGTTAGAGTGTTGCTAGGGTGTTGTGTGTAGTAACCAGTATATGGTATAGTGGTATGAGGAATAATAACGATGATATAATACGCACCACTAATGATGAACTCTGATAACCGTATGAGAGATTGTTGTTTGTTTAGGTGACTTCAATAACAAGCGCATCTTTCCCAACCGACTTAAGAAAGACATGTGATCTCCTGAGCCAAAGCATTACCACAGAAGACAATTATTCCAGTACCTGAGGCCAAGATTTAAAGTCATAAAGTGATGATGTCCCTCTACAGTCTTAAAGCAAACTTTCTCATATAAAAGCAGTGACAGGTGTCCCAGAAGAGACTGAGGGTTGTCAGTGTGAGCAGCGAGTGTGAGTCTGGGAGGAGCTCTTGCATGGCTGAACATGGTGACACTGGATATAGGGACACTCTGTCGACTCTGACAGCTGTGAAGAGCAAAGCAGCTTAACGGAGACCCTGCGAGAGAAGTCACTGAACCAGCAACCCTGCTGATTAACCCACTCATACAGGTGTAAGTGGAGTGCTAACACACACACAGGAACAGAAAAGAAATGTTAACACTAGCGCTGGGGATGCTACTCATAATTCAAAATAGTTCAAACTTCAAAGTAGACTCAAGCAAATATTTTTAAAAAGCAGTTACAACACTACAAATTACAAACAAAAAGCATTGAACAACATTAAAGCTATTTAGGGTAGAAATACCTTTTAAAATATACAATGTCCCCAAAAAATTAGTCAATGTTATTGAACGACATAAAAATAAATGCCATTTGGTCTGAAATTTTGTTATAAGAAAACAAACAATTTTTCCAAAGATTATATTATATTATATTTTGGGTTAGTAAGACTTTTTTTTTTAAAGAAATAAATAATTTTATTCAGCAAGGACACATTAAATTGATCAACAGTGACAGTAAAGACATTTACAATGTTACAAAATATTTCTAATTTAAATTAATGCTGTTCTTTTAAACAAACATATTTTCCACAAAAATATTAAGCAACACAGCCATTTTTTTAACATTAATAATAATAATACATGTTTCTTGAGCACCAAATCAGCATATCAGAATGATTTTAAGGATCATGTCACACTGAAGACTGGAGTAATGATGCTGAAAATTCATCTTTGCCATCACAGGAATGAATTCCATTTTTAAATATTCAAATAGAAAACAGCTATTTAAAAAAAAGAAAAAGAGTTTACTGTATTTTTGATCAAATATGCAGCCTTGGTGAGCATAAGAGAACACATTAATTTTTTTAACAAATCTTACCAACCCCAAACTTGCTTGTTTAAAGTAAACAAATGTGTTTGAGACTTATTTTTTTTACCATAATTTGTTTGCAGATGTCACTTGGTTTGATATTTTATGTAAAGCAATGACATCCATACATTTTAAGGATTGCTTAACCCTTTTACTGTGTTGAAAACCCTATGACACGTAATGCTCCAGTCAAAGATGACCAGCCTGCAAAAAAAATTGCTTATAAATCTCTTGCTATGCTACATTATCACCAAATACTGGATTCAATCTATTTGACAGCTTGTTTTCTTTCAATAAGGACCGGTTTTGTATTTATTTTTTTGAAGTGATTGATCGAGGCCCTATTTATCTGAGCTTATGTACCTCAGTTTTTGAGTAAAAAAAACTTTATTTGTGGATAATTGTCAATTTTACATAAATATATGAAAAAAATGGCACTGTTTATCACACTAGTGTGCTTTAATGTGTTCATTTGTTTTAAAATGGTTTTATTTAGTACAAAATGGCACAAAGTCACACTTAAAATATCTTATAAATCACTCGTTACCACAGGTTAAGACAGATTTTGTATTTATTTTTTTAAACTGATTGATCGTAGGCATCATTGATCTGAGCCTCACTGATTTGAGGATAAAGTTCATCTCTGTGAAAAAGAAAGCTGCAATACTCAAAATAGTTTGTCTGTGTACATGAACGTGTACGTGTGTGTGCGTGCGCAGATGCAGGAGTATGCATGTATGAACATGATGAACACACTCCTGAACACTAATTGTTTCTCTGATTTTCGACTCCCCCATTTATTTTCAATGGGCAGTCATTTTTGACCAATATAAGCTCAGATCAATGAGGCCTACGATCAATCAGTTTCAAAAGTAAATACAAAACCTGTCCTAATTTAAAGAAAACAAGTTGACAAAAAGATTGAATTTTTGACCGGGAACATCACAAGTGTTATAATGTGGAAAAATCCCCAACAAAAATTACAAAAAGTATTTTTTAAAAATTGGTACGTTGTTAGACTGTGAGTGGTGAGTTAAGTCAGTAAATTTTAGTCCAATGCAATAACATTAACTAGCATTTTCGGGTATGGGAAAATCCTCTCCGGGTCAGGACACAACCTGAGGGTTAAGGCATTCAGTTACTAAAGCATTCAGTAGAAAATAGAATATGTAAAATTATACGAAAGGACTAACCAGGTCTCTGAAAAAAATGCTAAATAAAAGTAGTTAGTATCAGCACTTCTTCTAGTTAATTACTCCACAGCAGTAGTGCCTTATGGGGCACTTCCTAAGTGATGTGTAGAGAATACCAAACAGGCTAAAATTGTGTTGTGACAGATTTCCTTCTGCTTTGAACTAATTGAAACTGATGACAGCACAAGAAAGAGAATCATAAAACGTATTTCCTCTTTAAAGCAACCTTTCTCAGTAAACACTAAACACTAAGAAAGTTTCTTTCTTGAGTGCCATCATCCAGAACTGAAGATGTCTATGCTGAGAGCTTGCATACAATTCCTATGAGCAGGTGCTGTGCTTGACATGCATATTCAACATATATTTTGAGGCAACATAATTAAATGGAAATAGGGTTGTTGACGTCCCTAGGAAATAAGATTGAAATCGACCTATAAAAGACCTTTAGAAGCTCCCAAAGACTCATAAATTATTTTTTGAGAAACTGAAATTTTTGACTGTAGTTTAGAGTGTGACTGTAAAAGAAATTGCTGCCACAAGAGTGTTCTGAGTGTTTTCCAGGTCATTGCTAAATATGACTTACATCTTTCTTTAAGTGTATGTGATTTTTGTGCCCATTTTATCATTCATCAAACAAGATGATTGTAAGTCTGTTATTTAGAAAAGTTTCTCAAAAGCTATACAATTTGATTTATCATTCAACAAAAATTTTGTAGGCTGAGTTACATGCTAAAGTTTAATATGTAATGTAAGGGGTTTGTTCAAAGTATGAACAACAAACACCTGTAAGAAAAAAAGAGAAAAAAACCCTACATTTCATTGGTAGGCACAAAAAATAATAATTCTACAAATATAACCACGTGCTAAGTCTCTATTTAATCCAAGAATTCATTCATGTATGAAGTATTTAGGTTAATATCAAAACTAAGAATTAGCCCATTGTTTACCGTGACTTTCTATGAGTAATCCTCTATCTAGGTTGTGGTGAGATTACGGGGACAGGACGTGACTGTGGGTGAGTGTGGTTAGACTGAATGAAGCGGAAAATCAGGGGGGGGAAAAGAATCAGGGCCTGTTCTATGTCTTACATCTCTGTGAAGAACCAAACACCTGTGGTACCATCACTGGAGGGGAGAGGAAGCACACAAAAAAAAGAGGTTTGGATGACAACACGGTCTTCTTAGCACCCAGTTAGCATGTGTAATAACATCAAAAGAGCCTTTTATTTTATTATACATAAAGCAGGAACAGGCGACAGTTCTTTGTCCACTTCCATTAACTAAATGAAATATGACTCCCGAGTGCTGCACCACAGGCATCTCGTGTTTCTGTTTACCTGCTTTTGTAGAAACACGAGTTGGCCGCATTAAAAATGATTCATGGCATTTATGTAACGCTGTCTGGCAGAACCTTGTTCTTTGTTTGTTGTTCTGTAGCGGCTCGGGACCATACAGGCTCTTTTCAGATGGAAATCTCCATTTAAAAATATCGCTGATTTATGTGTGTTTTATGAATGGTAACATTCCGGTGTGGAGTCTTTCTTTTGTATGATTTCACCTGGTGACGCTGTTTGAGATGTCGACTTTATTATTATTACGGTGCGCGTGTGTGTCCGTGCATACCTGCGCAAGCTGGGGTCCATTTGGGCTTCATCCTGAATGAGTTCTGCCTCGCTCTGAGCGATCCTCATGGCCAACTCTCTGTCCCTCCTCTCCTGCTCCAACATGGTCTGTGTCTGAGTCTCTTCCTCTCTGTCTAATGCCAGCTGCATCTCAAGTTCAGCCTGGAACAACATACATTCCCACAAATCAATAATACGCACACACAATCTCAACACCTTTGGCGTTTACCACACCTGTGCCTTCGTTCTGTTCCAACTCGATGGAAACACACAGACACAAGCATACAAATGGGTGCCGGTGGGGGTGCCAACAGTAATGAACACATATTTGAGCTCAGAGTGTTGATCTGTGGTGGGCAAAAGAAGAATTCGAATGATGCTGACATTATCCCAGTTTTTTTTTTTTTAAAGGGTTTTTTGGATGCCTGTTTTCTGGTGTCCTCAAGCAAAAACTTGTTTGTGGGCCAGTTTCACTACATAGATGCTGATTGATTAGCTTCATCTAAATTTTGCTGATAAGCAGCCAGCTAGACCAGCACTAATCCAGGACTCATCAGCATAACCCAGCCTGGACCAACATGGAAATTCAGAACCCAAGCCAGACAGGACATGTTGAAGAACTTGTCCCCATATCTTAAAATAGCCAATATCTTTTTTTCAAATACATGAAACATAAAATGCTACCAGGGACATTCGGCACAAAAATTTGGATATGCCCATGAGTGCTAGATGAAGACATTTTTTTTGAGAAAGTCATTTTAAAAGTCTATACTTGCTAAATCCCTGATGTTGCTGACTTTCAGGAGGGCTGCGGAAGCTTTTTGGTCATAACATTTCACTGTCCAATCAACATGATGATGTTTAAAGCAGGCTACAGAATTCCCTCAATCTCCTATCCAGTGGCGTCTGGTACATTTGAGGGAAGAGAGATTATCAAGGTGGCCCTGCCCTAGACACACGGTGAGTCTGTGACCCATCTATTGCACTGCCCACTGAAAGGATATTAAGCCATTACACTGCTGCTGTGTGCCAAGGTCTGATTAGGCATATAATCGAAGCTGTACTGCAGCCAGACGGCCAGAGATTCTATGTCTAGATTGTGTTAAATGAAAAAAAAAAAAAAGAAGAAAATGATTAAAAACAAATCAAATGAAAAGCATGGTTTTAGACGTGTAAGAACAGTCTGGGAGAGAGTCCAGCAGCTTGGTCCAAAAGCATAGGTAAAACAGAGCAAAGGAGTGATAGAAGAGAAAAGCTTAGATGGAACATTTTCATCAGAGAAAACCTTAGAGAGAAAGAAGAATGATGCAGGCACTATTCTGAGGAAAAAGCAAGGCAGCTGAGGTGTAATGCCCAAAGACACATAGAGAGAGGGTTACAGCACACACAGGTCATGATAAATCTGAGCTATGAATCAAACTACAAAAAGCAGGAGAGACTTGGTGGAAAACAGAGTGATATATTATGGATTATGAAAATAACAGTAATAAAGATTTTATAAACAATGTGACAACAGTCTTTGAGTGAATTGCAAATGTTTGCTGTTGCAAAGGTATTCAATTTATTCAAGGACTCAAAATCAATTGTATTTTCAGGTGATAGAATAGAATAGAATCATAATAAAATATGATCAATGTTTATTCTGAGGCATCTGTTCCATTTTCAGTAAAAAAAAATATATATATATATATATATATATATATATAAAGATATAAACATCTTTTTACAGAAAGTGGAACAGATAATGCCTCAGAATAGAATAGAATCATAATAAAATAGACAATTTTAATAAAAAAGGTCACAGTAGCAGACTTTTAATAGAAGTGGCACAGAAAAAAATTATTTAAAAGAATAGACTTCTTAAAAGACTTTATAATAAGGTCTCATTCATTAATATTAGTTCATGCTTTACCTAGCTGTATCTATCTAACAATATTTTTGATTAATCGTAGTTGATAAAAAATCGAATTGTTCATTCTTGTGAGTTCAAAATACCGTAATATTAACAAATTGAATAATTGTGAAACAATGTTAACAGATACAACTTTTCATTCATTGAAATTTAATTAAATTAACTTACATTATAAATACTGTGGAATAATGTGTATGTTTGTATGTGTGTATCTCAAAATAAATCTGAATAAAATGAATTGTAATAGTAAAGGTCACAGTAACAGTTAATAGAATAGAATAGAATAGAATAGAATAGAATAGAATAGAATAGAATAGAATAGAATAGAATAGAATAGAATAGAAAGCAGCACAGAAGCTTTTTATAGCGTGCAACAGTTTTCGGTCAGCATGGGCACAGTGTCTCTGCAGGGCGATTCATCAGAGGAAGCAGTGCAAGGGAAGTCAGCCAAGCCCCCAAACACAGCATCACCATCGGGAGAGAACTTTCACTCCGCAGACGCAGCATAATCCAGCCCCAGGAGGTAGGCAGGGGCTGATGAATAAACCCATAGGCCGCTGTGGCAGCTCAATACAGTCATGATTATGCCTGTAGAACAGCCAGTCCCGGTCAGCTCTGAACATGCCAGCGTGAGACGGAGTGGGCATTTGGTTTGCCGAAGGAGACGCGGAGGAGAGGAATCAATACACAGAGGGAGCGCGTATACACATACACACCTGCATGACTCGCTCTTCCTCTTCTCTTTTCTTTCTCTCCTCTTCCTCCTGTTTTCTTTTCTGCTCCATCTCGGATTTCCTGATGGAAGAGAGATTGAGGGTGGGCCATTAATGAGTTACTCCGGTCTGTGGGGAATTATTCCTCCTGATCAATGACCCACAGGAGGGGATTTGAAAACACCCACATGTGGATTCACTATTGTCACACAGAGAAACGTGGACCGCATCTAGTCTTTGTAATGCGAGCGAGTTCCTTGAATAGCAGCTGAAAATGAATAGTGCGCGGTGAGCGTTGTTATTAAGTGTTAGCATTTTCCTATCAAAAGACCTATACCGGATATTTATATAATCTCACAAACAGCCACTCAAATCTCCTGCGATTTTCTTTGTACTTTGTTGATCATGGATTCGCGTATTTACATATGCATCCTTGCCAACCCTAAGACCTTGAAAATAGGGAGATTTGTAAGGAGTGAAATTGGGGGCACAGTAATGATACAATTTCAGTTGAATGTTTAGCTGCTCACAGTAAAGGGGTGTGATTTGCATTACACTGGGTCCGAAAGTCTCAGAGCGCTAGAGAATTGTTTTGCATTTATAATTTGAAATTTACATCTTTAATTACAAATTATACTATTTACATGATTCTTCAGAAATCATTCTAATATGCTGATTGGGTGCTTTAGAAACATTTCTGTTTAATACTTTTTGTGGAAACCATGATAAATTTTTTTCAGGATTCTTTGATGAAATGAAGCTTTTAGCGCAAGTTCTATCAGGAAGACTCTAATGCCACATCATTCATTCATACTAATAGGTCTGGCCAATCACTGCTTGACACCTGGAGTATATAAGCACTGAACTCTCTAATGCCGTTGACATTCCCCTCCATCCTCCACACCACCACCAGGTTGGCCCCTGTCCATCCATAGGAGGTAGGCTAAGTCCCTGCCTTCGTCTTCAGGCAGGATTAGCCGAATCTGCATCTCCCAGGATTCGGACTAAGGACGGGGCTACGCCAAATAACTTTTCTATACAACTAAACACAAATTATTCTAGCTCACTGCCATCTATTAATACTTTACGGGAATAAATACCATGCAAACTTCACCTGCCCTCTGATCCCAAATAAATCCAATTTTTTTCAATGTGGCCTCGGAGTTTTGGACCCCACTGTATATAATTTCAAAATGTATCTGGTAAGTTTGTGTAATGGCGTCTAAAAGTTAGCTTTAAAAGCTTCCATTGAAAGCTTGAAACAACGGAAATCACAATAAATTTTATAAGGGGCAGGTTCAATTTTATACTGGCATGGCAGACAGCATTCTTAAAAAGTTCTTCACATAGAAAGAACAAAGAACTTAAGGCTAATACAAACTTGTGCTATAGTTGTTAATGCAAGCCAACTGGAGTTGTATAGCTAATCTTGGCTCCTATAAAAGCAGTACCTTTCAATCAGTAAAACGTGATAAATTATCTTCTCCATCTCATGTCCATGGGATTCAGGCTCTTATTATGATTATATACAATATTAGGGTTATATGGAATTATCATTAAAGCTCATGCAGGGTGTTCTTGTAAGAATTGAGCAGCAACTTATAAATAAAGCTTTGATCTAATTCCATTTACGATACATAACACCTTCTGTGAAGGTTTGACATTTTTGACCTGTTGCTTAAAGGGGCTATATGTAGAATTCAGAACCCGAATCCTGGGACATACAAGAGACTGAATGTGATTAAAGTTCTTTTTCGTTCTCCGCATAGAAGTAAAAAGAAATTCACTCTGCTGAGAGCGATGGTTAGATGAATATGTAAATATGTGCTGTGCGCTTTCATCTCAATAAAAAAAATAAACAACAAAAATGACAGCAGTGAGAAAGAGGCAGTTAAGAAATCTTCTGATCATAGCGATGTGGATATGATTCCACAAGCTCTGCAATTGACCGGCATCATGTCGACAGATGAGGTGATTAAATTACACTGTTATAATAGTCATGATAAGTATATATTTGAGATTATAGACTATACAGATCGGGCTATGTGAGACTATGGTTTGAATTAATTCCTTTTCTTTGCATGACACATTGACTTTACAGTATAGAATCATGAACATTGTATAAGCATTCATTTCATGTGTCATTGAAAGGAAGAGAGGCTCTCGAGCATAAGTAAATATCACATCCTTTTGATTTTGCTGGCGAAACAAAACACCTCGAGTCCTTCACATAAAAATCATTTTATGCTTTCATAAACGACCCAGGAAGTCAGAAAAGGTCTTGTTTTTTAAGTTTCATTACAAGCTGTTCACATATTGGCAAAAAAAAAAAAAAAAAAGCGATTAATACATGAAAATTCTTACATATAGCCCCTTTAAATGAACAGGAATGTGTAGAAAATAAAGTAATTCATACGGAAGGGCTCCAGGGTGGATGGGCCACACCAAACATTAAATAACAGAAGTTACTGTTGTTGCTTATGCTGGTGTGGAACCAGGGTTTCCGTTGTCCGGTAATTACCGGACATTGGCCGGGAAAAAAAATGAAATGTCAGACAAAATTAAATCTCGCCGGTCAAATTGTCCAATTAAAATTGCGTAATAATCCCGCCCCCCTAACACAATATGAATTTGAGAATAAGCCTAAAATGTATAAAGCAAAAATACACCGATAACATTTGGCTATGTTATAAAGGAACAGGCTCTACCGTTTGAAAGTTATTAAACAACATCGCATGCTGCATTTCAAATAAAGCGCACGCCTAAAACGGCTGTAATATAGAAACGCGCGTCCGAGTGAAGATTGCGCAACTCGCGCAGCGCGTCGTCCATGCAACTGATAGCAGCGGACACGAGTGCTCAGCTTGATTTCAAAAACAACAGATTTTAGCGCTAGATCTTTTATTTAATAGCGAACTAAATTAATGAACTGCTAGTTAACTGGAGATGTTTTATTTATTTGTATTAGGTACATCCGTGCCTCAATGTTTCAAAAAGTGAATCTGTGTGAAACCATAGTAAAAAACAATTGGTGTTGATTGACGCCAATCGGACGTTCATGTTTTTTTCCGTCTATTTGAAAGTTAGGCTAATAATAACATGTTGCATTCTATCCGGCCTGATTATGTCATTTTTTAAGTTACATAGCCTGCCTCCAGTTTTCCTCAACTTGACTAATTAAGAGGCGATTTAACTTGGCGATTAACTTAGCGATATTTGACCGGCATATCATCAAAATGTCCGCAAAACGAAACTGACCGGCACCATTTTTTTCTAGCGGAAACTCTGTGTGGAACTAATTTTTTTTTTTGACAAGACTATAAACATAGAAATATCATCATGACCTGATTCGTGAAATGATGACAGATGCTGTCCATGACAGCAGGCTCTGGAGAATGTATAAGAGAGAGCAGGTCAAGCCGAACCCTCCAGTGATGTATTAATCTTTCTGCCAATCCCCTCCTACACCCTTTTTTTTCAGCTCCTGTTCTTCTTTCAAATGTGCTGGGACTCTGACCTAATGTACGGGTTATTCTGTACGAAACTTGTGACGTGACTCACATGCGGCGGTCTTCTTCCTCCTGTTTGCGTAACTGCTCCTCCTCTTCGCGTCTCTTCCGCTCTCTCTCCATCTCCTCCTGGATGCGCTTGAGTCTCTCCGTCTCCTCCTGCTCCTGCTTTTTCTTCTGCATTGAGGAGAGGAGATGCTCCGAGCGTTTCACCAGGCCCTCATATTCTTGCTCGATCTCCTGGCGGCTCATCACCGTGGACTGAGAGACAAAAAGAGTGTTAAAATTGAGTATATTTTAGTTATAATGTCTGCTTTGCCTCCATATGAAAGAAATTTTACGGGGCAGTGTTTCGGCAGACCCATGATTCAAACCGGTAACTTGTCTTTTTGAGCTATTCATTACAAGAACTGGCTCATGAGAGTTATTATTCTTTCAGAAATAAGGCAACACTGGTTAAAAACTCTATGATTTTGATTCACTAAAAAGAAGGGGCTCTTAAGAGTCACTTGTTCAGACTTCACTGGTTACATTGTATGTTGAACTCAATAGAAAGACAAACTTATGAGAGCTTCAGTTTTCGATAGAATGAAAGTGGATGTCAATTTATACTGCCAAGCTCCAAATGAGCAAAAAAGGTAAAAAAATGTATCATAAAAGCGTTTCATACAATTAAACAACAGCGATTAACTTAGCACGGCCACAGCTTTTCAAGGGTGGATATTCTATCTATGTCCGTCAAAAACAGGCTATGTTCCAAATGGGATGAATCTGCAGGGCACTTTGGAGTGAAAAACAATCATGGCCACCATATTGAAGGGTCATTCCAAACTGAAGTGCTCAAATCTGGCCACTTCAAAAAGGGCCGTTCCAAATGAAGGATTTTGAAGGGTACAACTGGTGGACACTTCGCTCCCATGTTACTTTGTACAGGTTTAATTTGTTTGGCACGAAAAAAATGGCTTTTCTACGGTCAAGCAGCGTACAAAAATTGTGCAACGATGGCGCCTCCTTGATTGGCTCGGCAAGGTGATGCAGAAGTGCTTTCCAATGAACAGTGTTTTGGTCCGCTACACCCTTCATCCCTTTGATGCTCTCACTCTAGAGGGTAAACACTTCGAAGGGATTAGGGTATAGGGATGAGCCCTTCAGAATGGAACGCAGCAACAATGATGATTTTGAGAGTCAGCTCGCTTGCTGATGATTTTGGAATTAATTACTTAAAAATGCATCATCATCAGGTTATGTTGAAACACTAAATACAACAGTAGAAGACAAGTAAATAGTGAAATTACATAGGGGCAATCTACCCAAGTGTCAAAAAGTCAGACAGTCGATTTGTCAAATATTGAAAAGAAAGGGAAAAAAAGTGTAACAGATGCTTTCTCCAGATGCAAACTGGCTAAAAAAATGTATTTTTGTATTTAATGGAGAAAACAAATCATGGAAGTTTAATGTCATGAAAAAGAACAAGCATTATTTAGACTATTTCCCCTTGCTGATTTTTTTTTTATCTAATAATTTCCTCTGTGCAAACAGAGATATTTTCCTTTTGGACAATCATTTAGTAGTTTAGTTGTTCATGTGGTCCACCACAGAATCTGATTCAACGCTTGCATTTTGAGATTACTGGCAAACGAAGCTCCATTCACTTGCCTCTTTACCTGAATACATAGTTTCCGAATTACATGTGCCATAACAAGATTTTTTTTCTATAATGTTGGGAATTTACCAAAAAAAGGAGGTTTGTATGTCAAAAAACAGTTTAGTAAGTGTGACGGACCGTATCACAGATAAAAACAAGACAGTGCAACATATTCCCAGCTGGTGGAATGACCTGCATAACTCAACCCGAGCAGCTGAGTCTGTAGCCATTTTCAAGAAACGGCTAAAGATGCATCTTTTTCTTCTACACTTGACCCATTAATAATAACACTTTCTATTCTATTTTTTATTTTCTTTATTTAAAATAATAATAAGAAAAAAGCCTTGCTTGCGTGCACTGTGCTAGACTAACAGTGACTTGTCACATCACTTACATATTGTTGCTCTTTTGTTAGTCCTAACTGCTTCTATTATTTCTCCTCATTTGTAAGTTGCTTTGGACAAAAGTGTCTGCTAAATTATTAAATATAAACGTAAATGCAGTTTGATTGGGTATAATTTGGGTCGTCATTTGTTTATCTGATGTAATGTCAATTAGCATGCTATACAGTATACCATGAACAGACCAAAATTACCAAAAATCATCTACCAAAAATAATAATGTCAAATAATTTGTGCTTGTTTTCAACTTAAAAAAAATGTTGCACTGATGATGCACTAATGGCAAAACAAGCTGTCTGCAAATGAGATTGTAACTGATAGAAAGTTTTTCTGTGAATAACTTACATTTGATCGATTTCTCATTGTTTATTATAAGATTATAAGATATTAGAATATAGTGTGTCAGTCATATATTTTACATTTATGATGCTTTTGTGTACTTTTTGAAGCTTGACAGTATAAATCACTATACACTTTAATTGTATGGAAAACAGAAACTTGGACATTCTGCTTAAATACTTCCTTTTGTTTATAAAGAAAAAAAAGGAGGTTAAAACAACATTAGGGTGAGTAAAATATGACAAACGATGACAGGACGGGCCACTTGGTTGCACTCTACAGTAGAGGATTTGCCTCCTGTGCTTCGTTAAAAAAATATGAACAGTTTTCAAAGTGTAGAAAGTGGCAGCAACTCAGTGGTAACTGTATTTAATGGACGACAGTGGCAACGCTGGGCCACATGCACCGCAGTTGTATTAATATCCTGCAGATATTCATTAAACCTGGATGTGGATTTTGTGCCATCTGGCAGAGCACCAGAGGAGCGTGGAGGGATGTGAGCATTGTGAATGATCATTGTACCGCAGGGGGGCAGGGACTCAATGACAAGGTCCGTCTCACCCCCTAACGCTAGACGAGTTAGCGCTAGCGTTTTGAATGACAGCCATTGACACAATCTGCGTTATTAGCCAGGGAGGCCACAGTAATCTCCAGTCCAGATGGTAAGGTAATAGAAGGCATTGCCAATCAAAAGCCAGATGCTAATCAAAAAGTGCTATGCTAATAACAAAGAGGGCTATCACGGGTGCAGAAGTGCACAGCGCATCTCATTTAGAGTGAGGAATGAAGTGTTCAAGTAGAAAAGTTTCAGCTCTTGTGCCAGCTATCTATCAGGGAAAGGGCGCAATGTCTCTCGAACTCCCTGTCAATAATGCACTCCGAATCTGACAGATGAGGTTGGGCTCCACGTAGAGAATACAACAATGCATATACTGCATTCAATCAGCCGCAGCTGAAAGTTCGGGGGAAGGCAAGAAATGAACACTAGAAACAGCATAATGCGGCAAAACCTTGAAAATAGCCTTGACAGCATGTGGTGCGAATGTCAATGATGATCTGCAGACAGAAAACTCATTGTCAGACTGTCGATTTGCATACTTTGTATTTATTTACTCTGCTGTGAGCACTAGAATTTCTGCAGAATTAAATGAAAAGTGTCGGCTATCTTTCTTTGGTCCCTAAAAAGAGACAACTCTAGAGACTCGCAGCTGGCAGACAATTCTAGCCACAGCTTTAGACCGCCTTCATCAGGACATGGAAAAACACACACCTGTTGAATTATGCATGGAAACTGATACACGAACGAAGGCTAAGAAAAGAGCTACACCGCGTAACATCATTGAGCTTTGTAAGCTGGAGGAGGTGAAAGGGGGTTTGTCAACCTTGGGCGGTTTTCCAGTGGAAAACCTCACCTTGATCTTGGCAATGAGGGCGTCGGTGGAGGCGGCCAGTTCCTCGACCTGTTTGCTCACTTCCTGTTTACCCTCTTTGAGTCCATTCACAGCCTCGTTGAACTTCTCCATCCTTTTCCTCAAATTTTTCACCTTCACCAGGCCATCAATGCTACCATGAGAATGGAGACAATAGTGTTCATTTTTTGTCCAGTCTATTAATTTATTTAAAAATATATATAAATTTGTACATGTTTAGCAGGTTTTTGAACTTCTTTATTAAATTCCATCTCGATATTTTGCATGCAAATGTCATATAAGTAAATAAAATACAACCTATATATATGTATATATTTGTTACATAAGGTGTAATAAAAGTATAGGTAAAATAAGTATTATTTTCACAATATATAAGGTAAAGGTTTTAAAATCTTTTCAAGGTGTAATGCTGGTGTGTGTACATACCGAGTCTTGTGTCTTTTTTTGCACAGCCACATGCGAACCGTCTTCTGAATCTTGATGCAAGCACTGGCCCTGAATCTCATTTTGTTCCTCACTGTGGCAAGTGAAAGAGAGAGGAAAAAGATGCGTACTCATCAACAGCATCAAACTGTAACATTGCAAAGGTGAATGGGAGGGTGTGGGATGCTTCTAATTGCTTTTATGAAAGGCAGTTTGCTGGGGTTATGAAGGGTGACGTACATTTAATAACCGACAGTGTGCACCACTGGACCTTCTTCCAGCGGCTGCACACCAGCCACTTATTGACCCGTTTTACAAGCTCGGCCAGGTGCTCCGGATCAGACTTCATGATCTGGTCGAACTCTGCAAACTGAGGCAAACACACACACGTTGAGATTTATGTAGCTGCATTCTGGTTTACGAGGTTCCCATGTGCACCAGCTTAATGAAACAGGATAGCGGTTTTAACCGTCTTGTATTATTCCAATCCACATGAGAAATATTGTGAGAAATTATCACCTTCCCGGGGCGGAAGAAAACCCTGGTCAAGCCAAACTTGTAATCGTTCTCGTTGAGGCCCAGTGCTTTAAACAGAGCCTGCAGGAGGAGACAATACAATCAGACAGTGGAACGCATGCTTTATTAAATGACATTTAGAGATCAACAAGAATGACATTACGACTTCTGGCCAGTGCTTACGCTATTACGTTTCAGTGTATGTTATTTTTTTTAATGCCTTGCAAACTTAAACATTTGCTTTTCTGTGCTGTTTTTTTTTTTTACATTATTGTGAGAGTGACTTGTGAGTTAGAATCAGTTAGAATGATCAGTAATGTTTTGCAATTTATGCCACTTCCCAGCAAAGATTTACATCATAGTGGACCAAATTTTCCAGCTGTTAGTGAAAATTTTTACTTTAGGGTTGTTTGGGAGGAAAAAACAACATTTAATAAAAAATAAAAAATATGCTCCTAATATGTACTTGAATGAAAATCTGTCCTAAAGGTCTGGCAGAGAAAGCAGAAAAAAAATACCTTTTTGTTGAGCCTTGATTATACTTTAGAGACATTGCATTACAAGCATGATGCTATAATTAATTTTCAATAATTGCCATCAATCATTAATTGCAGCCTGCTCATATACTGTATTGGCGTGGAATCCAATTTTACATTTTATGATGAAGTAAATACTTTATATTTAACCACGGGTGTATGATTAAAATGCAATTTGACTTCCAAATGTATCTGTAACTACTGATGATAAACCACTATAATTTATCATGGAAATCAATGAGGGATTACTCTGTGCGTGCTTTGGAAAAAGAATATGAAAGGTCATATAGTCATTTCTAAAAATAACTCCGCAAGCTATCATCGATCATACTAATCCTAATTACGTACACAAGAATAACAGATGAATAACAATCAGAATAGAATGAGATGCAATGATAAAGATCAAAATAAACAATAAAGGTTTACTTTGCAAAAGAGTCGAGGATCAAGCCTTGTAAGCTTGTTGGGCATGTACTGCTTGTACATGTTGTAAAGCTCATGAAACGGAGCTCGGGAAGGGAAGCCCCCCTGCATCAGGTCCAGCACTGATACCATGCCTGAGAGGAGAAGAGAAGTACAGATAATGTAGCCAGTGAAGATACAGGATTTGCTGCATTGAAGGCTGGAGCTAAAGCATAAACCAAGTTTAAAGGAAGATTCAACGTATTATTCTTAGTAATGTTCAGTCAACCTGTACCTGAACACTGTGAGCTTGCCTTTTTTCAACAAAACTCACATATTGAGCAGTATAAATTAGGACACGAGTACGTACTTGCTAGTAGGCAAGTAATTGATTGACCTCATGTAATCCACAACTAGTCAACAAAGGTATCAAACTAATTGGCTAAACGACATGTCAGTGCAACTTCTAGGCTATACTCTTTTTACGTCTCTTGCCTGAAAGTTTATTTCTAAAACTTTGCTAACATCCTATTAAACGCAATAACACAAACCTTCAAAACACTCTTGTGGTAACGCCACCTCAAAAGATAATGAAAAATCAGTGGAGCTCACATTTAATATGGCCACTCCATAGGCAACACCGGGATTTGTTTAAAAAAAAACAAAAGGCACTTCCAACTGATGATTGCTGGGTATTTGTGGTGAGGTTTTCTTAAATTGAAATATTTGAAGCATTACCACAAGGGCTGCGAGATGAATTGGAAAGTGAAAAAAAGACACCTATATAATCATATACATACCCGAGCACTGCAGTTGAGACAGAATCTGAGCTCCTTCAAACTGGTGGCTCACCATCTTCAGATTAGGCTTCACGCAACGGATGAAACTAGAGCCCTTTACAATGCACATGAGAAGTTATTACATTTGAACAGAGAACAAACAATATTATATGTATAGTCAGCATGACAAGACCATTGGCTAAATGGCCATAGGGTCTGTTCTAGGATGGACCATTTTCACATATCCAGGATTGGAACAGAAAGGTAAACTGTTTTTTAGAGGTACACGTTGAAAAGTTATGTTTTTGAAAAAAAAAAGTCTCTTACGCTCACCAAAGGTGCATTTCCCCCCCCCAAAAATACATTAAACAGTAATACTGTGAAATATCATTACATTTAAAAAAAAAACAGTTTTCTATTTTAATATGTTTTCAAATGTAATTTATTCCTGTGATGTCAAAACTGCATTTCAGCAGCCATCACTCTTCAGTGTCACATGATTCTCCAGAAATTATTCTAATATGCTGATTTGGTACTTAAGAAACATTTCTCTTTATTCTAAATGTTAAAAACAGTTGTGCTGCTTAATGTTTTTGTGGAAATGGTGATGCACGGTTTTTCAGGATTCTTTGATAATGTAAATTCAAAAGAATATCATTTATTTGAAATAGCATATAAATCTTCATTATGCATCATTATGCATGTCTTTACTGTTAATTTGAAACAAATTAATGCATCCTTGCTGAATAAATGTAAAAAACTTTTGAACAGTAGTATAAATGGGTGAACATAGTAAACATTATTTGTGTTTCCACTATTGGATTTCTACAACTTTCCAAAAGAGGAAAGGAATTTGCCAAAAAAATTAAAAATTACACCACAGCCGCCTTGACTAGTTTATTTGTTATTTAATGCCAGAATAATATAACATGAAGTTAACCAAATAAAATATAAACTGTTTGCTAGATTTACATTTTTTGCATCATCGCAGTCTGTGAAAAAGTCCATACAGCATATTCTGGCCAACTTAAACAGGTAGATACAGTCATGCAAAGTAAACAACCAAATCTTTTTCATAATGTGTCATTTACCAGTGTCATAAATCACCAACTGTCATTTAGCATTTTTTGCTGTGCCGCCTGGTTTGCGGCATGCATTAGACACTCAGTAATAATCAAAACAAGTGGCTAACATTTTTAAAATAACAAATGAATAACATTAAACTCATTACTCACCGTACTGCGAAGCTTTTCCAGTAGAAGGTTCAGTTGGGTCTATGAAATTTGATCAGAAAAGAAATGTGAGTGAATCCTGTACATTTTAATAAAGAGCATATTGTTTGCATAAAAATAAAAATCATTTTAAACACACAGTTGTAGAGTCACTGCCATGCAAATGGTATTACACATTTTGACACATACAGGAAGTAAAAGACATGCATTATACTGGTGATTGGTCCAATTACAAAGATCTTTTGACATAAATGACATGGTGATGTGTTTACAGTGAGAGCTCCCTAACAGTATGAAGTCCTTGTGTATGATTTCTTCAGCAATGACATGACAAACAACTACAGCAGAGACTAAAAATGTGGCAGCCACGTTCACACAAAGACATGTCAATGGACCAAATGGGTGAAGGAGAAGGGTGGGAGAAACTTAAGACCAACATTTGTTTATGAGGTTGCAGGTTACCCTGGGTGCTGGCACTGAATATTTCAGCCAGGCTTACCCTACAAAAGCTTCAGTTTTTTTCTCTCTTTCTACATTTATTTCAGCACCAGAACTTTTCACAGGGAAAGGTTGAAGAAACAGGAGAAGGTCTAAGAAAGGAGGATTGAGAAAGGGCAAAAGTTAGAAGTAAAGGAATTAGATCACCAGGTAAAAGATCAATTGTCTCTCACAAAAGCTTTTAAAACCTACAACTATCAAGAAGAACAAAAAGAAAACATCTAGCCCCGTAAAAACAAAATCTACAGCGGTCCAAATACAAAGCCTTGAGGAACTCCTGATCTGAGGAAAGCCTGTAGTCTTGAGGGCTTAATTTTTTTATTAACTTATTAATGCCTTTGACAATGTGCGTTTTCTGGCGATCAGGAGAATATAAGCTAAAGGGTAGATCACCTTGAATTTGTTTCCCACACTGATAAAGCTGAGTTTGCCAGCCTTCTGCTTTGAGTCCTTGGAATTGGAGTTGTTCTCAAAGAGATCCCGGACAAACTTGTCCTTCGACTCACACACCAGGCTCTCCAAAGACATGTGGAGGGCGTCATTATTCTTCTCCACAAACTGGGTCTGCTCACACACATACACAAAACCCACAGGGCACAGAAATAAACACAGTCAACCACACAAAGAAAAAACAACTTTACCAAAGGGATTCCCCCAAGTCCCCAATTGATTTTACAGTGTGGAAGGAATTAATTAACCCATGTTAAAGACTATCACATTACAGAAATAAAACAACACAATGGTTTCCATACATAAAATAATTCAGAATGAACTGAGTGAATTAGGAACTTACAGTCTCATAGCACACGGCACCAGCGAAATGTCTTACGATGAAACCTTCATCATCTCTCAAATTCCTGTGGACTGTAAGCTTTGACTTCCTAGGCACCTGAAAAAACAGTCCACACAGAATCCATCTTTGCAGCTGTATGGTTATGATTTCCTTCATTTTTGGGTCTTGACATTGATGGAAGGTCAGGGTGAATCACATAAAAACTAGAAATGCCCAGGTCATATATAAATCCCATATATCAAAATAAATAAAATAACAAATAATATTTTACATGAAGAAAATGGAGTCTAATCCATTGTGACATATTTTTAATAAACATATGCACATTAATTACTCCAAAAGCTCTGTAGCCTAATATATGCCCAAAAAAGTATATGTATATTTGTATTTGTTTTTATTTACTTTATTAAACTAAAAAAAAGTACAAAAAGGCCTGTTTGCTGTAATAAGTCATGTAGAAATATACAGTAAGATGAGGGAAGATGTCTCCCTTAAAGGGGTCATCGGATGCCCATTTTCCACAAGTTGGTATGATTCTTTAGGGTCTTCATGTAAAGTTTGTAACATACTTTGGTTAAAATTCCTCAATGGTTGTGAAAAACAACACCCTTTTACCTCCTCAAAAACAGCTCTGTTCACAGCGACCCGTTTCGGTGCATGCCTCTTTAAATGATAAATGAGCAACTGCTCACCCCGCCCCTCTCTTCCATGGGGCGTGTCGACACAAGACATGTAAAGTGTTGCCTTGGTGGACAGTATACAAATGGCGGAAATATGCTAATACGGGACAGTCCGTCAGTGGTCGTGGACGGAGCATGAGCAATATGACATCATATTGTTCAGAAAATCCAAACGGCTTGATTATTGAGAGTGTATAGGCTTTTGAGGATTAAAAAAAAAAGGAGTGAATGGATTTTTTTTCATTGTATGGTGGTTGTGTGACCACACACTGCAAAGACACATTTATATGCAAACACCATATAAGAGTGAATTTTGCATCCGATGACCCATTTAAGAACAGTGTGAATTTTTAATTCATTAAAAAATGTATTATGTTAGCCAATAGAATAATGATGCTTCATCCAATATATTGTTAAGGGAAATTAGCAATAATAGCTAATTGAATTATTTTAACACAAAATTGAAAATCATGAAAAAGGGCCATCTTTTCCCACTATAGTAAGTTGACCCCCTACCTAGGTCATAATATGTAAAATTACATATTATGATTTCTTTTTTTAAAGGCGTAAATCATTTAAAATAAAAAATTCTAAGGTAATGTATGCATTTTGACAAAAGTTGAACAATGACAAATCAAATGAATCCCAAAAAAAGAGATACATTGGAATTGCACAATATAATTTTACAGATACAGTCCATTATTTTCAATTATCCAGCAGGTTATGATGAAAAATGAGGATGTTTGAAATATACATCAAAAATGACTAAACCTAGGATCTAACTTTAACTTTTCACTTCAAATCAAAACACAATACATACATTAACAATACAAATCTAAATGAATTATTAAAATTCTTCAGATGTAATAGATTTCAAATATTGATGTTCAAGATTAATAAGAGAATCGCTATTAAATAAAAGCTGAGATGAGATTCAGTGACATCTACAGTCAAAAGGAAAATTAAAGGTGGGGGAAATTAAAGGTCTTCCAATACATATTAGGCTACTATTTTTAACAATATTTTAAGATAACTTCAGAATGACTGAAGGCCCAGTCAAAATGCAGAAAGGGAAAATTGATTTGGTGTTCAGAACTAAGGATATTTTTTAAATGTATTATTATTTATTTATTGTATTACTGAGATGCTGTACAACACTATCCTGCAGACTTTCCAGCTTTTCTTTTCTATATATAGACTTGGCTATTGAAAAGAACCAAACCATAGCTTACAGTGAGACGGAAGTGAACCTTGTGCTTGCTGTGAACGGTCTCTGCAAAGTGCTGATCGCTGGGCTGGGGAAGACGGTTCTCCTCATCCAGAATATCCAAGATACCCACCAGCTTTGCCTCAACCAGATCTGCAAAGCAAAGTCACAGAGACAAGTTCTGGACTGAATACAGAAAGTTTCATGCGAACGAAAACGAGGTGAATAGTGCATTCATATATTCAATCTCCCTGCAGAAGGTATTATCCAAAGTGAAGTAGAACTCAGCAAGTTTAATGGACGAATGCAAAGTCGGTGGGCACACAACATGGACCTTTTTGATAATCAGTGTGAAGGCATACGTCGTATGCATAATTCATCTGAGACGTGCGCAGGTGAGAGAGGTGCGGACGCAAGCTCAGTCATGTATTTGCATGAGCAGACACCCGAGGATAAATGTGAGGTGATTGATGAGGAGACATGCAGGGAAAGGACCTGCGTGTCCATTTGGAAGTCACAAGGACATGTGTTGCATCACTATCAGGAGAATTAGTAAAAGCAGTGCTGATAAATGGAAAGCAAGTCTTTCCCCTCAGGAAACAGAAGTGACATCTGCGATGCAGGTGTCGGGTTCCTTCTTTTTGCACAGCAGACACCGCATCAGAGGCGAGATGTTATGTCAAGCCACCTGCATACTGTGCAAACTCACACAAGCTGTTGAGTTTTGACAGCTTGGGCAAAAAAAACATAGGTGGTTTATTTATTATAAATCATTTGGGTTAAAATGCAGGTCGACTTAAAAGATAAAAGGTATTGGTTCTGAATCTGATACCTTCAGACAGCAGACTTTGGTCTGATGATGGTTTTTGCATTCAGTGAACTGGGGGAAGATTTCACAGTGTGTCCTGAGTTTGAACTGACTTTCTGTTACTGATGGGTGATTTGGGTCGGACTGCACTGCTCGAGAGATCACTTTTAGAGCCGGCATCAAAAAACTAAAACAATGTGACCTCTTCATCTTATCTACTAAACCCTCTCCAGTGGGTTCAAGAGTGAGAAAGGTCATTCTCAGGATTTAATACTGTGTTATCTCAAGTACCCAGCATGCATTTCTGCTGGAATATTCATCTTCGGCATGTTTTGCCAAGAGATTAACAGACATGGCAATGTATACAAATGACTATGTTATCATCATTTGAAGGCCATAATTTGAGAAGAAATTACATTTGCATCGTAACACATTTTGGATTTAGAGACCCTAGCATTTCCGCGTATGGAGGACTTTATATTGCCGTAGTGCATCCAGTAATGATTGAAAATGGAGGAAGATCATTATTCAGTGTCACAGGGACACTCACCTATGCAGTCCTGATTATCAACATAATGAACTTCATTCACTCCCAGGCCTTCTTTCTGATACAGCTCTTGCTCCTGGGGAGGAAGAGGAAAAACAAAAACAAAGTAAATGTGCATCGGTTTTTGCTGAAAGTGAGAAAATGCTTAACTTAATCTGCTGGAACAAGAGCATCTCAAAAGAAGTTAAACTGGAATTGTTAAAACAGAAGAGTAATTTGCTTGCGATTAAAAAAAAAAAGATACATACAGATGAAATAGCTTCATGTGTTAGTTTTAAGGAGGGCATATTTATGAGTCACTGATCGATACTAAAAATCCCAATAACATTCATGGCTCACCTCTTTCAGTATGCGTTCATTAAAAAACTGCTGCAGCTTTTCATTACAATAGTTGATGCAGAACTGCTCGAAGCTGTTGTGCTCGAAATACTCTGAACAGGAATATAAAAAAAAGCATTTATGATTCATTTGCTAGGGATGTCTCTAAAGGCATTTAACAGTTACACTATTACAGAAACACTGTTAGTGAAAAGCAATTATCGTTCATCTTACCACATATTCTCAACCTTATTTTCTGCATAAGACATGCTAATAGCTAGTGAATCACTACGTCTTCTCTACATTCAACCAGTCATATTCCATGCTATGTTTAAGTTTAACATTAATGGAATATTTCAAGTCACAGTTACAGTAGCTAAACTCTATTGACAGACAGCATCTGTTATCGTGGGAAGTAATTTCAGTTTCTATAAACCAAAAAACTGACAGTTATGCACTTAAAATGGAGATACGCAATTCCCATAGAGGTCTATTGTATAGCATGCTTACCCAGTAATTAATTACTAGCTACTAATTAACATCTTCAACAGTGTAATTAGTATAAAAAGTATTGCATTACTTATAACTAATTACTTTCTAAATCACATATCAACCTCGACCAGTTGAACAATACAAGGATAGATGAAACTGCTCTTTTAATTCATTCAAATAAATATAAAATTGCATAAATAATTCTTGAACTGACCAAAGTATTCATAGAGAGAAGGTTCCATTAAAAACAAACATTTTAAGATTAGATGTTAAATTTTGATGTTAAATCCACTATTGTTTTATATAGAATGTTTCTATAGTCCATAAAGTATTTAATGCAATCACATTAGAAGTAACTAATTAAATTACAGAAACAAACCTTTACAGTAATACCTTACATTTTCAAAGGAAAAGTACTTAAATTACAGTAATTAATTACTTTATAAATATGTTTTATAGTTTTTGACAAATTATTTCGACATCTTAATTTATATTTAACCAATAATATTTTTTAAGTGCTTTAAGCTAGTCAAAATAGCTCAGAAAGAACTCAGACTTTTGGACACTACTGTATGTAATGTCAGAGACAACACGGAAAATCTGGGAATCACAATCTACCTTAAACATGAAAATAAAGGTTTTAGGATTTAAAAAAATAAAAAAACGAAATTGAACTAAAAATCTTTGAAACATAAAATGAACAAGAAATATATAAGATTCTGCACTCAAGATTCCCAATCAAAATTAATAATACTAGATGTTTCGCACGTGGTCTCAAATGTTTGGAGCTCACTGTATTGAAGACTAGGTTGCCTCATATCTCAGATGCATAATTTCTTAGGATGACATGTTTGAAAATTTAAGAGCCACTGAGAGAACAGGTAAATTAGGAGATTCAGTGTAAGACAACGTGACCCGTCCGTTGTGGCTATCTCACAAGCTCACCAAAGCCAGCGATGTCCAGCACGCCGATGAAGTTGGAGGACGTATCAAAGGGAAAGCACTGGTTGACCCGTTTGACCACATGATCAAAGAGCCGGCTGTAAACGGCTTTGGCGAGAGCATCGCGGGCATTGTTGGCCTGTTCCACCTTCAGAGGCACCCTGGAGAGGAGCAAAGTGGGACAGGAGGAGTCAAAATCTGGGCCAGGGCTTCTGCTAATGCCTCCTCATCAATACATGTCCATTCTGTTTTACTCCGTCCAACTTTGCACTCTTAAGATAGTTGCAGTTTAAGCATTCCAAGCTAAATATGTAAAATCACTTTAGGGGAAAGCAAGATTCCAACCAGAAATAATTTTGAGTCAAAATTTAATTTATTTTCCTCTCAATTCCATTATTATAGCAGATGCTCAAGGCTGCTGAAAAAAAAAATCACCTCTGTATAAGGGTCTAAAAAAATGATTAGGACAAACGAATATTATTGGGGTCTTTACAGGCTAAAATTTGTGTCAGGGAAATTGTTTGGTAACAGTATAAGAGAGGAAATTAGTTTTTTTTTTTTTGGTGAGTATGTGCCTTGTATTTATAGGGACAAAGGTAAATTGGGACAATTTTCTGCTTTTCTGAGTGCTAAAGGCAAATTTTTTCTTGTTTCCAAAAATGACAATTACACGAATTCTTAAGACTATGCAAGAAAAAATGTTTATAGTATGCAAATAACTGGGTGAAAAAGGCCTAAACTACTTCTAAAGCAAAAAAATAAATATTCCAACATCTTTGTTATTCATCAAGTGTATAAAAACCGATTAATTGGTCCTCCAGAAGATTAATTACATAATTAAACTGAAAACAGTACAGGGAAAAGGTTCAATTCAAACTTATTTTGCAATGGATACTTTGATAAATGTATATACGCAATACAAACAGCACTTGAAATCCCTGTGTAGCTTAAAGGGCTCGAAATGCAACAGCCAAGCGATATTACATGAAAACACAATAAATCTCAATAACACACGCCTGTTAAAGCAAAGTAGCTCATAATCACAAGCCACAGTGGCTCCCCGCAATCCTCAGGAGGTGTAGGGATACCGGCAACTATCTGAAACTTCAGAACTGGAAGATAAAACCTTCTTGCTCTCTTGAAGATGCTGTCCCACTGTGGGAATACCTGCTGTGTGACTCTTATTGCCTGCACAGTTAATAAAAGCTGGTCTTGGCTCACAATAATCTCTTCGATCTCGAGTCTGCGAGATTGCTTTTCATTAACTCGCTTTTATGCTATTAATGTATTCCCTCTGTAGCGTGTGAGTCGAGAGGCTGCTGCACTCTTCCTTCTCAATGTCACCTGCTTTTGTTGCATTTAACAGATTTTTAAAAATCACAATGCGGCTCTGAAATGAAGCTCTGTCAGGGACAAGCTGCTGCCCTCTCCGGTGTCTATCGATGTGAATTGCAAGGGGCACTGTAGCCTTGTTTGAATACAGTCTCCATAATTTTCCATAAAACGCATATTGCATGTGTACGTGGTTGTGCATCTGTTCCCAGTCAAATGAGGAGGGAGAAACCTCCTGTGACTTTGATTCTCATCATACCTAAAAGACCCTAGGCCACTCCCTCAGACAAACATCCATTATTCATGCAGTGCAAACACTCCCAGTCCGGCATCTGTGCTTGGTTAAATATTAATCCACCGAGCGCTGCCCTATCATTCAGACGCCACAGAATATAAAACCCCACCTGGGCAACAGAGAACGGAGCATACGTTTCAATCGAGGCAATCAAGTTTTTCCAATTCCTCTCCCCTTTGACAATTGGTGTGTGCAGTAATTGGACTGTGGGTTTGACATGTTGAAAGCTGAGAAGAATTGGGCTTTTGTTTCACAAACTTGCAAACCCGAGTCTTATCTTTGAACATTAGGAGAAGAAGTAGTGTGGAAAAACCTCATTGATACCTTAGCCTAGTCGGTCAAGGCCTCCTCTCTTGTAATCCCCCCCCCCCCCCCCCCCCCCCCCAAAAAAAAAAAGTTTAAATTCAGAAGACTTTCGATGTCAACTAGACTATTACGGCCCCTCAGCCAATTTTAGTCTCTGCCACATTTGATTAAACTGACCATATCTCTAATGGAAAAGCTGCGATTAAGTATTTTCAGCTCTCCTCTCGTCTGTGAGCGGGCGACCAGAGGATTCATTTAGTTATGTGAATGCAAATGGGGCGAATTGATGAAATGTAATACTAGAAGACGTTTTGCATGGCAGGGAGATTGAGATGTGAGAAGAGTGTGTCAAATACCAAGCAGGGATCTGTGCTGACTTTTGATTTGTCTTTTGATCATCATTTGGATGCAAATAGAGATCTAAAACAAAACAAGTTGCCCCCGGGCCACTGGCTGAGCAGATGTTAAGGTAAACATATGGGGTCACTCACTTGATGACGGTGCCTTTGGCGCCCCCTGCAGTGGTGAGCATGACCCTGGTGGTGAGGCTGACTCTCAGGTCGTCCTGGTCCAGGCCAAGCAGCTCAGCACAGTATTCCAGAGTCTGACTGGACTGGTTCTTCAAAATGCAGCCACCTGAGATCAGATGCAAATTCTAATGGTCATCTTAAAACTTTGTCTCATTATGTTTCTTATGCTATGTCTACACAGCACATAATGCTTCATGTTTTTTAATTTCCTGGTACATTCGTAGCAGTTAATGACCTGTTTTCTCATTGTCAAAATAGATCAAAATATATGTCAACTACAGACTAAAATAAAAGAAAAATCTTTAAAAAAAAAATTGAATCAGTATATCTATATTGAAGAATTTCTTCTCTTCTGTGTCAGTTTCCTAGCCTGGCTCCGCCCTCCTACGTACTTCCGCTCAATTTTCATTTTCCTTCAGTACTACGTCTGGGATTGTGCTGTATTCTTTGGTTTTCTCCGGTCAATTTTTTACCGGGCCAATCAGCGAACAGAGGGAGTGGCTGAGAACGATGACGTTGATGTCGTGCGCTAGTTTGAGTCGTACGTCACGACCAAACGTTAGCGACGATTGGTTATGGCAGATCCAGAGTGACTCTGGGCAGATCCAATAGTTTTAGACTGCAACAGAGTACCCGCCTACAAGGAAGTTAACGCTTGTCAATGGAGCGATGCCAGACTCTATGTACAAATTAAATGTACGAGAGTCTGGTGGGATTAACTTTATGTCCGCTTCATAACATTAAGGTTGAACTTGGACTATTTTAACGATGTCTTTACTAGCTTTCTGGGCCTTGAAAGTGGTTGTTGCGTTGCGGTCTATGGAGGGGTCAGAAAGCTCTCAGATTTCATCAAAAAGATCTTCATTTGTGTTCTGAAGATGAACGAAAGTGTTACGGGTTTGGAACAACAGAGGGTGAGTAATTAATGACAGAATTTTTATTTTGGGGTGAACCAACCCTTCAATACAATTTTCGACAAAAGTTTACATTTAAAATGTCATTGTGGTACAACCACAAGGTTCAGGTCGTACAAAAAAAAATATATATATATATATATATATATATACATATAATGTTTTTGTTTTTTTTGTAGTACAACCTGAACCATGCCATGTCCTAAAAGGTCAAATTATCTGATATTTTAAGAGACCTACTGATTTTGACAAATGGTCACGAGGGTCTGCAGGAGTCCTCTTTATGATATCACCGTTTTTTGTTTTGTTTTTGCTGCATCATTTTCCGCCTCATAATACAAGATTATGCCAAACTACCTAAAGTTTTCTTTCATTCTTTTACTGAGTTTTTTTCTCCAGTATAGACCTTATTCAGAGAAGTGCCATGACAGGTATGAAAGTGAGGCTGTGAAGGATTGACATTGTTTTATCAATGCCATCCAATGTAAAAAGCTAAATAAGATCACTTATAATTTTCACTTATAACTTATAATAAAGAGATTGGCAGTATTTTAATAACATGCATTTAAAATGTGTATTTAATTACTTTTGAGTATTTTGTCATTTTTATTTTCCTGTACAAAAATAAATGAAATGTAATTTGTAATTAAATACTCTGAGAGACTGTATTTTGTATTTAAAGTACTTAAAATACTTATTATATGCAAAATATAACGACACATTTGAATAACTTTTATCACCAGGCTTAATTGGACCAAGACATATAAAACACAAACAGGAGGACTACTAAATTACCTATCACAGTTTATAGCTAGATGCAAGAAAATCACGTGATGTGACGCATCCTATTGACTGCTGTCTAAGAGCTAAAAGTGTGCAAATAAATCTATAAAAGCACACTCCTTCAATCTCCTATCTCAGCCATTTCCAAAAATATGTGTTCATACATAATAGTCTTCAGGTCTCCTGTAAGACCTCTATTAGGCTCCATGTTTTCCAGCTAAAGGGTGTCTCAGGACAGCATCTCCATTGTGAGTGGGGAAAGGCCAGAGCAGTAAAAGGTGTTATACCTTCAGCAGAACGGGAAAACAAATCCGGAGTGCAAGTGTGGTAAACACTAGAAGAAGCCCCCTTACCCCCACAGCAGCTCTCTAATGCTCTTAGTCTAAAGGTGCGTTCCATTTGACAGGGTCCCTACGCAGTGTTCACTGCTCCCTACTCCCTGAACACGGTACATCAGTTGAAGTGGACTTCACTGACAATAATCACTCATTTGGAATGCCCTGCAACGTCATCAAAGAAAAGCAACAACAGGCTCGCGCAGATTATGATATAACTTAATTAAATTTAGTAATTTACTTTCCTTTCTAATTTAAAATCATATAGGCCTATAGATACATTCATCACCCCAACCGTTAAATACTCTAGTTTGTATAATAATAACAATATTTATGAATACTCAATGCATACGTAAACTCAGAGCCGTTACAAATTTAAATTTAAAATCTCTTCCAACGGCTCTGCTCTATGGTTAGTTCCGACTGGTGACGCGGTGCACAATGACAGTTGGTTGATTTTCACTCTCTACTTCCTGTGAAGTGATGTATCGATGTTCCCGAAGGGCACTGTCGTTTGCAGTGCCCTTCGAACTAAACATGTTCGTTCCCTTCAGATTGGAATCTCACTTAAGATGGCGAAATACCCTGTGAAGTCCACTTCGCAGTCCACTTACGGTCGAATGGAATGCACCTTAAGTCTTTTAAGTTGGAGAACGGGTGTGTGAGTGTGTGTGTGTTTAATGAGGAGAACATCAGCAAGTGGATGAGCTAAAAAATAACACTTCAGACAACAGTGACTTTTCCCTGACTGAATGCAGATTCTGTATTAAAAAAAGCAAAATTGGTCATAATTTGAAGTCTCTTAACCTGAAGGAAACCGAATATTTCTGATCCAAGTTTGACGTGATAAAGCAAAAAGCGATAAATCCTATCTCTTTTTTGTCCTAACTGGCTTGATTGCAACTGACACACAAGACATTTACTGTCTGTTTGCATGGTTTCTAGTTCCGTGATGGACAGCCCCTTCGAGATATTTAATCTCACTGGTTTTATATTAAACATGTTCTGATGTGATTTTGTCACTATGTGCAGGACAGAAATTTACTTTACGCTTGAAAGCTGTCGCATCATGCCAGGTTAGGTCATCAAATAAAGGCAAAATAGTTTACTAATGTTGGATAAAGTTGGAGTTGAATGGCTACCAGAGGTGCTTCCTGTCTCTTCGAAGTCGATATTGCCGAGATGAAGGACGCCAGCCACCACTCTGAAGAGATTGAGCTTCTCTGTGTCATCCAGGCCGATTCTTTTCATGGCAACCACCATCCTGTTGAAGTCTCCCAGGTCATCCAGCAGAGGGTCCTTCAGAGCACCCACTTTTCCATGCTACGAACACAACGGACCATCAAGACACACGGTTCCAGAATCAACAACATCCACACGTCACACGTGCCGCAAATGCCTCAGAAGATCAGATATGTATACTGGAGGACTGTATACAGATCTAGATCTCTGATTAAAAGGAGGAAAGGAAATCAAACCACACCTGAGGATCAGAGTGTGCCAGAAGTTCCTTTTTTATATAAAAAAAAAAGATGATTTTGTCATAATTTATTCACCCTTATGTCATTCTACACTTGAATGACTTTCTATGGAACGCTTTATGCTGCTGCTGTATGGGGAAAAGAGCAACATAAACATTCTTCAAAACTTCTGTGTTTAAAGGATACAAGGGTGAGTAGATGACATCATTTTTATTTTTGGGCAAACTATGCCTTTCAGTCACTGACGTATCGATAATCTGCAGTCTGATGACACAACAGATCACACTCTGACCAATGCTAGAGCATAAAAGCTGTTCCATACCCATGACTACAAGCACCCCTTACAAAACTACTTATTTCACAGAGAAAGCCTCATGCATATTAGCTTGCAGACCCATGCACACACTAATGATCAATTTCATGCACAGAAACCCAGAAAGCCAAAGAATGTAAAGCATGAAAAGAATTTAGAAAGAAGGACAACTGGTAAAACATCACCTTATGATCCTGAATTTTAAGAAGATCAGGGAAGGCAAAGACACACAATATTCAGTTACAAAAATATCGACATAAACATTATGGCTATTAGAAGAGTGAACCTCTGTTCCAAAACCTACAGAGGCAGCATTTTAATGACAACCCAAGCTTTAAAATAAGCTAAAACATCTAAAAATCAATATATAAGATTGCATTTATGATTTTAATAAAAATAAAATCCTCATTTCTATTCATATCCCCATGGTTCTCATGGTCTTGGAGAGCCTGGATGTACTGTATGAGGGAAATTTTAAGTGTGATTTCTAGACCTGGAAAAGTCATCGATAAATATATTTATATTTAAATATATTTATATATAAATAATACATTCTTTTTGAAAAATGTATGAATATAAAGGTTTCTGGTTATGTTAAGCTATAAAATATGGGGGTAGACATTGCTGAGAAACTGCTATTTGTGAGTTGAAAAACTGTAATCCCAAATGACTAAAAAAAACATTTATAATTATTTTGAAATACTGCTACTAGTTTCTGTAAACACGAATATACTCAGCTTTGTCATTACAGCAGAAGTACGAGAAATATTTTGGGGGGCCTTTGAATATTGTCTTTGACAAGGGTAGTCGTTGTAGTCAAAAGTGATTATAAAAACATAGTATTGTTTAAAGTTTAAAGCAGCCTCGCATATATATTTTGTTCAGAAGGCAATCCCTGAATGCACTGAGTACAATTCAATTCAAGATGGCTAACAAGAAGTTGAACAAAAATCATAAATACACTGAAATCTAATTCAATATCAAAGAGTATCGCTAAATATATTTTAAAACTAATGTTAAAAAAACTATTTTAAAACTAATGTTTAGGTGTGCTTTGTATTTTTATGCTTATTAGATCATCATGCAGTTAGTTTAGCTCAACTGTAAGACGGGTCAATTTGATTTCTATTTTTGTGGTGCGGACTTGCTGCCTTTGTAAAGAGTTCACATTTAGTCACTTAAGAGGTTCCATCTTGGTTAGGATTAGGATGCAGTCTCAAAAGGCTATCTAGGCATGAGACAGCTCACTAGGTTTTGGACCAGAGCCTGATTCACAATTAAAGATGGATTGCATATCTTAATACCGACCCAAAGTCATTAAGAGATTCAATTGTTCAAGGATGATAAAAAAGGAGACAAAAAAACAACAACAAGAAAAGTACCATCTGTGAATTTGGGGTAAGAAACTAATCTTAGATTTTCATCTGAAAATACAGTGAAACAGACGGCGTTGAGCTAGCAAATGAACTACTGCACCGGCAGAAACAGCAGCTAATGAATATCTCATCACCTCCACAGGGAATCAACACAACGATGATTTATAATAATGGCCCTTGATAACAATAACATCAATTGATGGGCTCAGTCTCCAGAGAGGGCCGTGTGCAAACACAACAAAACAACGCTGGAATTTATTACACTTTACATAATTCATCAAAGATTTCTGAGGGTAACTAATTCTATTTGAGGCGAAACGGTGATCCTGCAACTTCAGAGATTTTGACTGCGGTCAAGGTCTGTTCGCGCAGCACGTCACCTAGTCTTACATTTTTACTACATGAACAAAAGACGCTGCAAGGATTTGATCATATATCAAAAATGAATCTGAAATATTTACTACAGCTTAGCTTAGTGCTGTTTATCACTTTAGATTTGTCACAAATGTGCATCAACACACAGGAAGAAGGAAAAAGATTCATCACGGTACTGCCCCAGAGATTCCTAAATAAAGATGATTCTACGTACCTCTGTACTTTTCCTGTTTTGCATGATCTGTTTATCCGAGTCCTTGTTTGCAAAGTATCGCGTGCAGCCACGATTCAAATACTGAGTGAACACAAACACACAATGATGAAAGTTAACAAACGAGAATAGAACCAGCAGAAACACATTCATAATCATTGTAAAGCAAATATGCCATCTAGTGGCACATCATACAGTTTCATGGTATCATGTATATGAGGGCTTGAAATCAGATAACCTAAACTAAGGTATTAAAGGATTTTATTGGATTTGATAAAATGCTTCGCCACTTCATTTTGCACTGTGCTTTAATAGTCTGCTTGCTATGGTCACAGTTGTCAGGTGGCTTTTATTGCACCAATCATAACAGAGACTCTCAACGTTTCCAGCTGAACCAAGTGTCTAGGCTTGGTAAAATGATTTCCAGGTTCCTGATACACAATACAAAGGAAACTGACTCTGAAGTTTTCCGGAGAGTTGAGATGAAGCCTGTTCCTGATGTCCTCCGATGCCCCTGCGCAGAGTCTGTAAAATATATGATAGTTTCTCTCTTCTGGACTCTGCATGCAAATCCGAGACTTCTCCAGCAGATAGTGCGAGACAAAACCCCCCACAACTGCATTCTGAAGACACGATGAACACAATTAGTAACTACAAGAAGTCTTACAGAGGAGAGGACACACTCTTGTCTTCAGACTAAGACAAAGTTTACCTTCTCATTAAAATGAATTTCCACAAACTTTCCAAACCGACTGCTGTTGTTGTTCCTGACCGTCTTTGCATTTCCAAAAGCCTCAAGCAAGGGGTTGGCTGCATGGAACACACATATTACAAACATAGATTTTGCATCATATGCAAAAATTAAACACTACTGTACAAGACAACCAGTGTCTTTGGAGAACCTACCTTCAACAATCCTCTCATCTATATCTTGACCTGTTCCATAAGATGTGGTTAAATACCTGAAATTAAACAGATACAGTATCAAGAAATGATGACATTAATGACAAAACTGGTCCAATAAAACATAAAACATATTTACTTACCATTAACATTACTGAACACTGCAACATTCAACTATTAAAAAATTAGGTAAGATTTTTATTGTTTTTTAAAGAAGTCTCTTACGCTCAACAAGGCTGCATTTATTTGATAAAAATACAGCATACAAAAAAACATAATATTCTGTTAAATTACCATTTAAAATAACGGTATTCTATTTGAATATATTTTAAAAATGTATTCCTGTGATGGCAAAGCTGAATTTTCAGCATTATTACTCCAGTCTTCGGTGTCACATGATCCTTCAGAAATCATTTGAATATGATGATTTGCTCAAGTAATATTTTCTTGTAAAATTATTATTACATCAGTGGAAAATTTATCATCAGAAGTTTATTCAGGATACCTACCCATTTTTTTCAAGATGTGGCGAAACATGTGAAATAATCATCATATTAAGTCACCACAATGGATATTAAAATGGGTCTTTATGATTTTGAGCATTTTCACAGACATAATATTTTTATAAAAAAATAAAATGCTAAATATATTTTCATATCTAAAAAAAACTCACTTCACCACTAGAAGGTGTGTGAGTGTGTGAGTGTGTGAGTGAGTGAGTGAGTGAGTGAGTGAGTGAGTGAGTGAGTGAGTGAGTGAGTGAGTGAGTGAGTGAGTGAGTGAGTGAGTGAATGAATTTGGACCATTGTATACATGTATGACATTTTAACCGTATTCCATAAATACTGAGGAGTTATCACACCTGAGAACAAACTTTGTGTTTTCCGTTTTTCCAGCACCAGATTCACCGGACACGATGATGGACTGACTCATCTTCAGAACCTTCATGTCTCTGTAGGCTTTATCCGCTGAGACAGAGAGAGAGAGACTGACGTTTGTCAAAATCACTGTCAATACTGTAGTTACCTTAAAAAAATTCTACAAAAATAAAGATTTGGTGCTTAGAATTAAATCCTCAAGTGTCCTATTAGACAGACATTCATGTTGTCCACTCACCAATAGCGTAGACATGAGGGGGAAGTGTCCCCAAAGAGCGTCTCTGATAGCTCTTAATGGACTCTGGAGAGTAGAGTTTCGGGATGTCGAAATACGGGTTCACAGCAATCAGGATATTAGCCACAAAAGTCTGAAATAAAACAAACAGGGTCCGAGAACATTTGAAACGTTCATCGTTGGGTGTGTGCTTTTGTATTTGCAGTTTTACATATTTTGGGCAAACAGGTAGTTCCGACCAATAGTTGACAAGTCGGACAGCTCAGACGAAGAGCAATGTTTTAATCGCTCTCACTCAAAGCCTCAGACTTTCAGGTTAGCCACGCTATGCGGAGCACCGCTACCTCACAGGACCTAATTAAGTGCATTGGGCAACTTGATAGCGTCTGGCCAGGATTAGTTGGGTCATCTGAGACGTGCAGTCGCACTAGGGCAGGGCCTAGGCAGTCTCCTGACAGCCTCGTGCGCTGTGCTGATGAGCGTGCGCTGACAGCTGGACCGGCGTCTCTCAGATGAGAGGCTAATAAGGGCCGTTGGAGCACGACAATAACATGCCCATCAGCTCCGTACCTGCAGGCATGCTTGCCAATGAGATCTGTGGGGTTTAGCATGAACCTGGAAGCCCTGCACTGCCCTGAGGTGACTGTTAAGCAAAATATGTGAATGCATCATGCATTTGCTTAAAATTTTATGACCCAAATCTGTTGAAATTTAAAATGTAGTTTCATTAGAAGAGGCTTTAATTAATCAGAGAATCAATTTGTTATACATATTTAAAGGTGATTTATGTAATTTAAAATGCAAGTGCAAGTAATGGTGCTTTAAAAACATAAATCTATTCGGTTCATTTGAGCATCCCAGCCTGCCCAACACACTTAAACTTAAACTTAATGGTGCGATTTTTTTTTCCATTCATTTTTCCCATAGTGATTTCAAAAAAAGACTTTGATAAAGAATTATAAGCCATGTACCAAACCAGCCAAACCCGGGGTTTTTTTAACTGAAAATTTTTGTTGACGTGACCACACCTTTAGTCTGTACAATTGGACCATGTTTATGTTATCCACTGGCCAAGTAATTGTGTACTTGCGTAGTTTTGGTGTTGGAAAAGGCATAGAAATTATCAAAAACAATCATTCAGAACAAGCATTTGACTTACATAGATCAAGTCTTTGCTGTAACGGATACGGATGTTGTTTAGAAGAGTGGCCTCGTTCAAATACATAAGAGAACCTGGAAGCCAAGTAAATATGAGCATATCAATGAACATCATAAGCTTAAGTATTTAACGTGATACTAATGGCCCCAAAGAAGTTATATACTTACAGTTGTCTTCAACATGTTTGTTTACATCATCCTCAGCAGGAAAAACTTGACTGATGGGAGCCAGGAATGTCTGTAAAGTCAAAATGAGCATCATCAACTTTGTGACCTCTGTCCAAATGAAAAAACTGGCCAAACAATAAATGGCTACATTCACCATTTATCCATATTAATAAAAGTCCATATAGTTTACAACCACACAGAAGATTAATGGGACAAAAAATAAGTAGATGATGGCAGCCGTTTGTTCTCTCATTTCCGAGTCCGTCTGGTTACTTTCACTGAGGTGTGAAGCTATAAAAACTCAAGGTCTTCATACATTACTACTGCGCAAATGACAATGAAGAGAGGTGCTAGGTCAGCCATGATTGATTGTGTCTAATGGCAGCCATAATGCGGAGAAGAAACGGTAAAGTCATGTTAATGTGAAAGAAAGGTGAGAACATAAGCTGTGAAATCCATTACATGACACATTATAAGACACCCAAAACTGCCCATCACATCGGTGCATTATTCAGAGCGAGATGAGACAAGCTGACCTTTCCCAGAAAACCCATCTCGTCCATGCTGACGTTCCTGCTTTACGTTATTCCTCCACTCCCTCATATTTATATAAGTCATTTACATTAGAACCTCACTGGACAGATATTATCTGCCTCAATGTCATCAATATCAACAACCTCTATGACCTAAAAACATTCACAACCTTGATACTGTATATTCTAGAAGGAACCTTTCACACATTGTTTACCATTTGTTAATAAAAGCTAATGGATCAATGACAAATAAGAGAGTCAATGATAAAGAAAAAATTGAAATCTATAGTTTAAAAAACACAGTTTTGATACTGTTTGTATTCATGTTGGTTTCAAAAAATACCTTTTTCAAGAAAAGTTCAAATTTTATGAAAGTCATTTGGTGGAATCATCAAGTAAAAAAATTATAACATTTGCCATTCTGTAATCATTATTTAACATACACACACGTTTGTGTGTGTGTGTGTGTGTGTGTGTAGGTTTTCTAATCTTCTGGAACATTTTTCTGAAATATCCCCCACTATACACACAGTGCCGCCATCTCTAAGGGAGTGTGTAAGTAGTTGAGACACAGGTGGATTTTTTTCTCTAATGAATATACCCTGAGTGTAATGTGATCTGCACACCTGCAGCAGGTAGAGCTTATTACTTATTCAAAGCCCCTGCAAGTGACACCCTTACATGGCACAGCACTATTCTACATACACATGTTCTCACATTTTACCTATTGCTCAGATACCTGGAGGCCTTTTATACACATCATGAAGTTAATCATGCGTGTGGTGGGAAGGATTCACATCAGCGGAAACCGTGATCACATGATCGCCCGAGGTACGCATGGGCTCAGCAGCCGAGGATCATCACAGGTGCTTAGCAACTAAGTTTTCCTTCGTATCATCAACATATGAGGCACGATAACATGGCACAAAATCAATAGCTGCCACCTGCTTGGTCACCGGTTAAATGCTCACAGGATAAATTTCAAGGGCAGTAAAGCTGACGTCTTACCTTTCCTCTCTGATTGAGAGGTTCAATAGTGAGTGCATCCGCACCAATGTCCACTATCATGCCCAGCTGGAACCCGTCGGTTGGGTGGGGCGCCCACACAGGCTTCCCATCCTCCATTGCACCCCACAACTATACCACAGCTCTGGAAGACACACACAGGGTTAAGATTAAACACTGACTTGGCTGGCAGCATGCAAAGCTTGTTCAACAGAAACGTAATTGTGTTTTGTTTAACACAAACCATGTGACTGTAAACAAAATGTCTTTTAGATTGCAGCAGGTGGAACTGGAAGCCAAAAAGGTCATCTCAAGTATAGATGATTGTAATGAAAATAACAAAACAACTTGTTACATTACCCACTTCAAAGTCTTGATATGCATAATGTACAAAGCAAACTGAAACTAGAACTCAGAAGAAAATGTGAGTGGTGCTTTTCCACGCAAAGCTCACTTCCACTATCTCAGACATTAGAGTATGATTGCATTTTGAGTCGCATTTTGCCTCCAAGTAGCAGTCACATGGAATTGTCAAATTGGTTCTGAAGCTGCCGTCACTCTCCACTTATTCACCATTAAATAAATAAATAGTGAGTTTATCCTACAGCAGGGTTAAAAATATATATTGATTTCTCGATTTTAATTGATTCCTCTTTTGGTGAACGGATATCGATTCTTAAATCCAAAGTATCGATCTTTTGGTCTATGCTGTTTTCAGTTGGTGAATGAATGAATCTTTGTAATGTGCCTCCATTTTGATATGAAACAAAGTCTTTCAAATTCTATCATTTTTATTATGAAATTCAAACAATAAATACCATTTTGCTTGGTTTTCTCTTCTAATTATAGTGGTTTGTGAGCATAGCTGCTTTAATAACCAATTTTATGACATTCTATTTAAATCTGTTTTTAAAGAAGAAGCGCATCTCCTTAGCCGTACCCTGGAGTTGGTTCACCCTCCGCCTATGAACGAGCCACACACTCACTCGCAAATCCTTTCATTATAACCAACAGATTGTAAACACAATGTAAATAAGAGATTCATTGTACAATTAAGACAGCTTTTTTTTATTAAACAAGAGTTTTCGCGAGAGTGCGATTCAGTGAGCTTACGATTGACAGCCTTAGTGTTTCTAAAGGTAGGGCTCGTCTCTTCTGTTTATTACCCATTCACAATCTGAACACAAGTTTAGTTTTCATGCTTCTAAGCAAACTGCAAAGTTTCTAGATTGACAACCGTATTTAAATGTGTGATTGAATCGGAAACTGCGATGATTGCCAGGACAAAACAAAACGGGACATCGTTTTTTAAAGTCCAAATAATGTATAGTCCTACAAAGCTATTATTATCAGAGTTTGTGAGCAGAGCGGATCAGTGAACGGGAGGGAAGCGTCATTTTTCCAGAGTTGCACCGCAGCACAGCTATACCACACCATAATACAGAACAGTAAGGCTATTGCAAACAGAAACAATTATACTGTACTGCTACATAGAAATTTCATGTCGCCGCATTATAAGCGGACTGCTTTTTTGATGAGCGCTACTACATGAGTGGAGCGTTTGCACAGGTAGTAAGCATGTGCATAGAGCAGAATATTGAGCGGAGGGTCACACACGTGACAACGGCGAGAGCGAGATTGAAACCTGGGCGCTGAATACTGAGGGATGGGGCGGCATATATTTTCGGCTGTTTTTCTCTTTCAAAAATTTAGTGCATTGCTATAGTAGAAACATAATTATGTCATTAAAAAGCAATTATTATAATGTTGTTATCATAAAAAATTCCTTATGTATTAAATGCAAGAAGCCTGATGCAAATCAGTTAATTTTAAGCTTTAATTGTATAGTAACGTTCCAACTGGTGGTCCGTGTTTATAGTTAGCATTAGTTGGGAGATATTTTGCAATGTATTGTACTGATAGGCCTACATACCAGAGATGCTCACAAGTCTCTGAGCTAGAGTCCAAGTCAAGTCTCAAGTCTCTGAGCTAGAGTCCAAGTCAAGTCTCAAGTCTTTGAGCTAGAGTCCAAGTCAAGTCTCAAGTCTCTGAGCTAGAGTCCAAGTCAAGTCTCAAGTCTCTTGTGGTTATAAGTGTTGCATCACGTACAGCGACCCATCCAGGTTGCTTAGAACACTGCATAGCTTTATATAAGGAATTCAAAGCTTGTAATATGTTAGGTTACACTTTATTTCGATAGTCCACTTTAGACATTCTACTAACCATGTACAATTTCAACTACATGTCAACTAACTCTCATTAGAGTATTAGTAGACTGTAGTAGACTGTCAGGTTATGATGTGGGTTCGGGTTTGGAGAACAAGTTGACTTGTAGTTGCCAAGTTACTTATAGTCAGTAGAATATCTGTTGGGGAACCAACAAAACAAGATATTATAATATATAATTAGCAGATATTAAGCAGACAGCCTACTAATACTCTAATGAGAGTTAGTTGACATGCAGCTGCAAAGTTACTTATAGTTAGTAGAATGTATAAAGTGGACTATCAAAATAAAGTGGTACCATATGTTATTATGACTCCTTTATCTATTAGCATACAGTATCAGCTTTGATTTTGGTATATAATCAGTGTAAACAGGCTATTGCAACATGACAAAAACACCAAGAATGCTTTACTTTTAGTTAATTTCTTTATTTTGCCTTGTAGCTTGAACATACCAAGACATAAGACCAAATATAGAAAATGATATAACTCGCAACACTAAAATTGACACACTCCTATTTAGTGCAAAACCTCAGTGTAGCTAAATGCAAATAAACTATTGCATCCAAATGAAATTTAACACTACAGTGCACTTCCAAAACATTAAAATGCTCAAAATCTTTAGTGTAAATGTGAAGCAACTGACCAACTTATGGCATGTAACTTGTTAAGAACAAAATGTTTAGAAATAAAAAAATCCAAAGGGTGAGATCAGACTGGTTAACCTTCTCTTCTCTCAACACACTAGGTATGGGCCACAAAACATTTCTGGCTTCTTCTGGCTGCACTGCCTATGCAACTAATCATAGCTTATATACTGTAAGTCAACACATCCCAGACTCTCAAACCAGTGTAACGTTATAACTAAATGAAACAGTAACGTTACATGATCAACAATAAACCTGTTTGTAGACAACGGGCAGCCAGCGGGGCACGTAAATGATTAACGTTACGTTAATCGACCACCACACGTTTGGCAATTAAACAAACGCTCATTCATATTTCATAAGGAAGACAGTCGGAGTTAACCTCTCGTAACGTTAGGTAGCTAAAGCAATAAGCAAGCTAACGGTAGATGGTCAATGCTGAGCTAAACATGTTTACTCACCTCTCAGGGTGCGGTTTCAGATGCCTGATAAAATTAGATGTGGTTGAGCCAGAATCTTTTATCGTGATACTGCATATTTTGCATTGAGCGCTTCTTTTGAGCGCGTCTTGTTTGAAGTTTTTGAACCCAAAGCTAACGATGAATGGCACAGCAGCGGCCGGTGCAGTCAAACTTTTTGTTTGTTATCCTCTCATGTGCGGTCGCGCGCGCGCTGCCAGCAATAGGCCACGTAGTACGTCCCAGCTGGCATTCGACTGACATTAAACGTTTAAATGTGGTTGAAATAATGTCAGTTTATGAAAAAACATTAATTCAACGTTAAAACAACGTTGAACACCAAATAGTTGAAGTTGTGTTGTTGACTCACTACGGATTCAACATAGAAATATAAAAAAAAATTGAGTTGTACATCAAATCAACATTATTTTTACAACCATGACTTTTAAAAATTTTGTTGAAATATATCAGTAGAAAAATAACGTTGTTCCAAAATCCAATTTGCAATCTGATTTTCAAAATCTAAACAAAATTCAACGGTTATCCAACACTGGCACCTGACGTTGATTCAACAGTGACTCGACGTTAAAATGCCAGCTGGGGTGGTTACGTAGGCAGGTTATAGGTAACGGAGGGAGGGGGATAACAGCGAGCTCATCAGACGTTTCCTAAAAATAAACATTGTTCACGAGTCCCGCAGCTCGAGTCCGAGTCGAGTCTGAAGTCTTTCGAGGACGAGTCTCAAGTCGAGTCTGAAGTCACTGTGTGTGGGACTTAAGTCGCACTCGAGTCCGAGTCTCAAACTCGAGTCCCCATCTCTGCTACATACTCCAATTGATCAGAATTCAATTAACTGAATTCAGAATTGAATCGAAAGCTTGTGAATCAAAATTTAATCGAATCGTGAAATTTGTGTCAATACCCAGCCCTTGTATATTCACACCAAAAAATAAATAAACGTCAATACATTTGAAAGAAAACAGTAGGTTTTCTAGGGCTAAACAACATAATTATGTAAAAACTATAAAATAATTATTTTGGACATAATTATTCATAACCGCCTATTTTACATTTATATTTATGCATTTGGCAGTCATTCAAAATGACTTCATATTTGTTGTATTGCATTTTAAAACACAAGTGCAATGTTTGCAATTAACATCATCACCGTTTAAGTAAAATGATCCCGTATGTAAATGTTTTTTTATTACATGAATATTAGGACACGAGTAAAGTACAAAGCTTTGTTTACAAAATAAATAATTGGTAAAAGGCAAATGTTATATCATTGCCATGGTAACATTTGGATCCATGCCGAATGAGAGAGGTACGTGAGCCTTAAAGTCCCTGTAAAGGCAATTTTAACAAAACATTCTAAACACATTCTAAAGGTTAGAAATGTATTGCTAAAACATATTACAAAGACTGTGAACTGTGAAGTACTGAATTGTGGAGTTAGACCGTTAAACAGTTTTTCACCCTGGCAATTTCACGGATTTTTTGGGCGGGTCTAAAACAGGGCTCGATGACGCACTGGAGCTCTTGGACACGCCCCTACTCGATGACGCACTGATACTGATCCCTCTAACAATATAAATAGAGCACATTCGCATCAGTTTGGCGCTCATTTGCGAGTTACTGTCAGTACTATTATCAGTTACTACAGCCTACAGTTTGCTATCTAGCCATGCCTTCGTCACGGAAATGCGTACTACTTGGATGCAATCATTTGCAAAACAGATCGGTGTCCTTGTTTAAATTTCCTAAAAACGACGACATCAAGAAGAGGTGGATTAATTTTGTGAAGAGCCACCT